TTCAGCGCATATTCTCCAAAATGGCGCTACGGTGATGCGGAGAGACACAGAGGAGACAAATTGTTGAATAAAGTCGTTATTTTTGTTTTCTTTGCGAACAAAAAGTATTCTCGCCGCTTCATAACGATACAGTTGAACCACTGATGGCAGATGGACTATTCTGACGATGTCTTTCATACTTTTCTGAACCTTAACAGTGTAATTTACTAGGCAGTCAATGGGACAGCCGCACACAAGCCTCCTGGTTTTCATCCAAAATATCTTAAATTGTGTTCTGAAGACGAACAAAGCTTTTACGGGTTTGGAACATAGGCTGTGAAAAAAGATGGACGACGCGTCTCCTATTCCTTCCACTATAGAAAAGTGAAGCCAAAGCATCTCAGTATGGCCGCTGCCATCTTGAGTAAATTACGTCATTTGGAGCCAGAGTCTGCGTAGTAGAGATTTGTTTGGAGCTAGAGTCTGCACAGTAGTGTCGCAAGGTGGAGCCCCGGTATCAAACTCCCGCCCAAACTCCCACAGACCCAATCAACCATAACATCACGCCCCATTTTTATAGCATCAGATTACTAGCTAAAATCAAACTTATCACAAAAACAAACAATTGAACATATATCAGTGTGATAATAACTACCTTTAATGACCAAAACCATCTTTCGGAAAATTGTATTGGAAGTATTAATTTTTTTATTTTGACTCAAGTCCCAGTCGTTTACATGGAGAGGGCGGGGTTTATGACCTGTACTGCAGCCAGCCACGAGGGGGCGATCAAAGAGCCCGCAGCTTCACTTTTCAGGACGTGTGAGGCACACCCGGTTTGGAACTACCTGTTTTTATATAGTCTATGGGAACGACATGGGGGTAAGTGATTAATAACAAAATTTTCATTTTGGTGTGGAGTAACCCTTTAAAGGGGTAGTTCACAGTTTTTTTTCTAGGCTTGATTGTGTTTATGGGGTGTGGTTTAACGTGTTAATGCTTAGTTTTTTTAAAAACGCATTATTTTTCACATAATTTACCTTTATTCCACAATGCTCTGTCCCTTCTCTGAGAAACACGCTGATCATTTCCTTCTTTTAGGAAGCCCCTCCCTCAGAAATAGGGATTAATGATTGGTTAGCTAGCCCCGTGTGTTGTGATTGGCTAATCCGCCTCTAGTGCGTTGTCTAAACGCCCCTCACGTCAGCGGCATGTGCTCCGGTTGTATTGTAAACAATGGTGTTGTTAATATCGCTTATCAGTTTGAGCCTTATTGAGAAGCAGAGAATATTATTGAAGAGGATTGTGCACAACCTGTGCAAGCACGGCTTTTAATGGTAGGCCTATGTTTTTTTGTTTGTTGTTGTCTCATACTTTTAGATATGCTGGTATTTGTAAATGCTACTGCTTATGTTAGCTTTTAATATACGGTTTTATCCCGATTAAAGCTTTAAAGGGGTCATATGATTCGATTTAAATTTTTTCTTTCTCTTTGGAGCGTTACAAGCTCTTGGTGCATAAAGAAGATCTGTAAAGTTGCAAAGACTAAAGTCTCAAATCCAAAGAGATATTCTTTATAAAAGTTAAGAGTAAACCACGCCTACCTAAAATGGCTCGTTCTAACACGCCCCCACATGTCAACGTCACGATGTGGGAAGATTTGCATAACGCAGCCCAAATGTTCACGCAAAGTAAGAAGGCGTAACTTTTATTCTCGCTGTAGTATTGTTGTTGCCGCCACCGCCATATCGTGAAGGCGCTGTGTGTTTCGTTGTGAAAGCAAAACTACTTTGTTTGGCCTTCCAAAAGAGGACAATATCCGCTTCGTCATGCCTGGAGCTGATCCGTGCTGATCGCTGAAGAAATACATCAACTTCGCGCTGTGGATCGCCAGATCGGCTTTCACCGTGGACGAAGTGGAGTCTAGCCCGGGGTCGTCACATGTGGTTGCCGCAAGCCACGACTAGAAATCAGTAGTTAAGTTGTATTTACAACACTGTTCCAGAACAGTTCAACCCAAATATTCAGATGTGTCCAGCGCATTTTATGGAGGACTGTTTCCTGGTAGAGTAGACTACAATGCCAGCTGTTCTGACTAACAGACTGTAAGTACGTTTTTTATATTTAAAGGCAGGGTAAGCGATTTTTCAAAAACGCTTTAGAAAACTGATTCGGGCCGAATAGCAAAACAAACTTGTAGCCAATCAGCAGTAAGGGGTGTTTCTACTCATGATGTGGAGGAGAGAGCATTTAGTCCGAGCCGAGTGACAGAAAGATAGATAGAGATGGCGGATAAAAAACAAAAGAGGAAAACATCTGCGGAACAAACGAAGGCTTAAGGCAATAAGGCAAGAAGTAGGACCCGTGTAAATATCGGATCAGCTTTCCAGCGCCAGAGAGAACTCAAAGAGTGGAAGGCCTGCGATCGGACGCAGAGGTTGCTTTGTTTCTTCTCGATCGGTGAGTAACACTGTGTCTGCGCCGCAACAGCTAACGTCTGTCTAGTTAGTACACTGGACGCGACAAAGCGACCATTGAAAATCATTTGAAATTTGTGTCAATACATCATAAATAGAATGGAGCAGCAGTTTTCTACGTCTACTTCTAGTGTAGACCATAGATATGTATATATATCTATTATGTAGACAGCATCACTGATTATGAGTTCTATAGTATTTTGTCACGCCGTGCCACTCGCGTCCAGTGTAGACACGGTGTAACATTGGTTTTGCTTTGTTTCACAGAACTAATCGTTGCCTGGGTTGCGTATGTATGTGTGGGGCGGAGCTATCAAAATAGGGGCGAGACCCTTTTGGGGTAGGGGCGTGTTTGTTTTGGTGATTTCAAATGTCAACATTGGCTACCAGAAATCACTTACCCTGCCTTTAAAGAATTTGCCACTGACAATTCAAACGCGAGTTTTGAGCAGTGTAGAGTAGCATTTGTTGTTTGTCATTTCTCTCATCACAAATGCAGACATGGTTTTATGTTTATGCGGCGTGATGCAACGCAACATGTAAAAAGACAGTATAAGTCATAATCAGTAATTATGTCCCCACTGGATGCAACAAATGCCTCGTTTATTATGGGTATTAATGTTTTTGTCTCGTTGCTCTGGCCGGACAGGGCATCACAATATAGTAAGGGGCGTAACATTTCCGTCACACGCTTGGGGTATTCGGCCAATCACAATGCACTGGATAGCTGGCCAGTCAGAGCACACCTCGCTTTTCAGACCAATGAGCTTTGTAAAAAATCTATGCGTTTCAGAAAGGTGCGGGGCATATAGGAGAAACAATAATCTACAGTATGTGGAAAATAATGTGTTTTTTTAACCTTAAATCCAAAACACATTTCATTACACCAAATACACAAAATAATGTTGTTTTTAGCAACATCATCTGACCCCTTTAATACAGTAAGACAACTGCATGCGCGTCCATGTATAACGCTTCTCATAGCTATGTGAAAATAAGTGTATAATTGTAACAGTTCATTATTGGAGCTGAGCTGAATGAGAGAAAGAGAAAGAGAGAGAGATGCAGAGCAGAGGAACAGGATTGAGAACCGCTGCTTTAGAAAATTGATTTTGAAACTTGTGAATCCATTAGAATCGTTAGAAGACAGAATTGCGATTCATATATGAATAGATTTTTACTTGCACCTCTAGTTTTCTCTTCCTCTTCTCTAAAGCAGCGCAGCATGGCCTCGGCCCCATTGCTGCCTTTTCCCGAGGGCGGGGTTAGAAGTAACTTGTTGTAGTCCCTACCAGCCGTTTTTGTAGGCATTAAACTGCTAGAATTTTAAAAGACAATATCTCCGTTTGCATTGAACTTTCAGATTCGTAACTTTGCAGATATTGTTTATGCTCAAACAGCAACATTACACACTAACTAACGTTAAAAAAGTGAAATCGCAATGAACCACCCCTTTAATATTTGTCTACCAAATGTTTGAGATGTGGATAGGGATATAGTTTGAACTGCATCAGTGTATAGCTGTTTGCTTATCATTAAACTAGTCAAACAACCAGTGCACCTGTTCTCGTCTTCTCCCACAGAACCATGGGATAGACATCGGTGATGTATTGTAGAGAGCGAAACTGAGAGAGAGGCTGAAATGCAAACCATTCCAGTGGTATCTGGAAAATGTAGACTCTGAAGATCAGAAAATAATGGTTGTCCTACTAACACAAACAGGTGATTAATAATCTGCAAACATGTTTATGGTTTGATCAGGGGCCACTTGAACAGACAAGTACAAGTCATTACAGTCCCTCCCAGATAATTCTGAATTCTGTTATATTCTCTCTCTCTATATATATATGATTATATTATTTCTCTATATACAGTGGGTACGGAAAGTATTCAGACCCCCTTAAATTTTTCACTCTTTGTTATATTGCAGCCATTTGCTAAAATCATTTAAGTAAATTTTTTTTCCTCATTAATGTACACACAGCACCCCATATTGACATAAAAACACAGAATTGTTGACATTTTTGCAGATTTATTAAAAAAGAAAAACTGAAATATCACATGGTCCTAAGTATTCAGACCCTTTCATACAGGTGCATCTCAATAAATTAGAATGTCGTGGAAAAGTTCATTTATTTCAGTAATTCAACTCAAATTGTGAAACTCGTGTATTAAATAAATTCAATGCACACAGATTGAAATAGTTTAAGTGTTTGGTTCTTTTAATTGTGATGATTTTGGCTCACATTTAACAAAAACCCACCAATTCACTAGCTCAACAAATTAGAATACTTCATAAGACCAATAAAAATTTTTGGAAAAGAGACTTAAACTACTTCAGTCTGTGTGCATTGAATTTATTTAATACACGAGTTTCACAATTTGAGTTGAATTACTGAAATAAATGAACTTTTCCACGACATTCTAATTTATTGAGGTGCACCTGTACTACCCACCTCACATACTGTTTCTTGCATACTATATAGTAGCGAAGTATGTGATTTCGGACACAACTACAGCCAAAATCCTGACATTTTAGGCAATTTAGAAATTTTTACCAGGACACATCTGGGAAAAGGGGGACGTATGGTAACTCTATATTCAAAGTTTTCTTAATTGCATTTAATGGGTTAAACTTTTGATAAAACCTTTGCATTTGGTTTGTAAAAGGTATTTTTATGCATGTTTGTGCTAAATTGCATTTACACCATTTTGACCAGCATTTTGACCAGCCTAGTTTTGCACCCCAGCCGTACCTGATTGGAAATGGGACACAGCTCCACTGCCACCCCTCTCATCCTGGACAGCTGCTTGGCCAGGGGATGATGAACCAGTGCGAAACCATGTCCTATGCGGCTGGTGTTAAACAGCAGAGCATCTAACACATTCCTGTCCACATCTGTACCATCCAAATCTAAAAACAAACATCCACAGAAAGCCTGTTCCAGTCTGGTCAAATTCACACAATTTCAGTAAACGAGGCTTCATTCTCAGTGAACCCATGAACTAGTGTCTATTATATACTTCTATAAATGTGTCTATGATATACTTCTATAAATCTGCATTTGTATAATGAAAAGGAAGAGTAGTCTTTTATTGGCGTAATTAAACAAGCCCTCAATAAAACAAAACAGCAAATATTATAGAACACATATTATATAGACTTCATATTTTATGGTATTTGATTAGGGTGACCATCTGTCTTCTTTTTATAAATAGCCTAAAATGTCCAGGTTTTGTCTTTGTTTCTCTATTGATGTGCTCTCTACAGTCTTCATACATTATACACACATATTTGCATTGCTTTGACCATTCTCTGTAGATCCCACCTTCTCGCACGCCAAGATTGGTTGATTATGTACAGTGCCTGCATGCTATTTTTCAAACTACTTTTCAGTCATTACTTTCAGCAAGTATGAAAACAATAGGAAAACAAACAGTGCATCCAAAATCCCATACTGACTGATTAGGTACTACATTTGAATTAGAATTTACTTCACGACCGTTAAAGTACACTCTAGTATGAATGAAATTCATATACTACATCCACCATGTTGTTACTTTCACATGACCTACCTGCATCAGTTGCATCACTTCACTGTCATTTATAAATCCTCTCCCGTGGCCTCATGGGATAGTAAAGTGTCCATCGAATGCGCACTTCAGAAAAGTAGGTCATCCGGGTAATTTTTGCAGACTGTTTTTCGAATACAATAAATTCGGACATACAGGTGCATCTCAATAAATTAGAATGTTGTGGAAAAGTTAATTTATTTCAGTAATTCAACTCAAATTGTGAAATTCGCGTATTAAATAAATTCAATGCACACAGACTGAAGTAGTTAAAATCTTTGGTTCTTTTAATTGTGATGATTTTGGCTCACATTTAACAAAAACCCACCAATTCACTATCTCAACAAATTAGAATGCTTCATAAGACCAATAAAAAAAATTTTTTAGGGAATTGTTGGTCTTCTGGAAAGTATGTTCATTTACTGTACATGTACTCAATACTTGGTAGGGGCTCCTTTTGCTTTAATTACTGCCTCAATTCGGCGTGGCATGGAGGTGATCAGTTAAAATCATCACAATTAAAAGAACCAAAGACTTAAACTACTTCAGTCTGTGTGCACTGAATTTATTTAATACACGAGTTTCACAATTTGAGTTGAATTACTGAAATAAATGAACTTTTCCACGACATTCTAATTTATTGAGATGCACCTGTACTACCCACCTCACATACTGTTTCTTGCATACTATATAGTAGCGAAGTGTGTGATTTCGGACACAACTACAGCCAAAATCCTGACATTTTAGGCAATTTAGAAATCTTTACCAGGACACATCTGGGAAAAGGGGGACGTATGGTAACTCTATATTCAAAGTTTTCTTAATTGCATTTAACGGGTTAAACTTTTGATAAAACCTTTGCATTTGGTTTGTAAAAGGTATTTTTATGCATGTTTGTGCTAAATTGCATTTACACCATTTTGACCAGCAACTGGTGTTTCGAGCGCTTCGCTGATATTTTGCAAAGCAGTTGATTCAATTCATTCAAAACTTTAAAAAGCTTTGTTTCTCCCAAAAATAATGAAGTGAGCTACTGTACATATACTGACCTGTCTTTCAGCATGAAAAAAGAAAGGAAGTTGTGTCTTAATCTCTGAAGCGAGTGATAAGGCATCTCGAAAGTACCAGATAGATCCTCCAGTGTCTTCACGACCTACCTACAGCAATACATTGATCGAATTAGAGAAAACAAATACTAAATGTGGTCATTTAATTTCACCCCTTTCATTTTTTCTTTAATTCTGATTGAGTCAAATGTGACTCTTCAGTGAGCGTCATGGTGCCATGTCACCTTTTAGAACCGACTCGTCCTGGTTCAGTTATTTTGGCTTTGTTATTGCTGTGGCTTGCTTGCACAGTGCAGACAGTAACATATTTAGTATTTAGTATTGCATTCTGGCGACATGGCCATGAATTGTAACTTAAGTCAAAGATGAGATTACCAGGTCGAACCCAGCAACGATGTCTGGATATTTTCTCTGCATTTCAATGGCCTCTTGTACTGCCTGCTTCACTTGAGACACACTAAGAGACCTGAGTAAAAATGCATTCAGATCAGACTGATGTGATTGATGATTAATATTCTTAGTATCCTAGACCATATTTCATCTTTTTGAATTCAAACGATAGAGTTAAATGTGTTTTTAATTCTGCAGTGATTAATACCATGTGTCTTTGCTTTTGTAAGCTTGAGCTGATGTTTCAAGCATTATTATCCATAATCTCATAATCAGACGTTTCACCGCTGTTAGTCTAGTGGCGTCATAATTGAAAACAGAAAAATCTTATTTGGATGGTCAGTTCTAGAAACAGTAACCATTAAAGTGACTTTATTAAATAAACTAACATGGCTTATGCTCTTTAAAAGGAAGGAAAAAAATACTGTATGAAATGTCATTTGGTTTAAAGGCTGTAATTCTTAGCTGTTTAAAAAAAATCATAAAGCTGACTGTTGTGACTCTTGGTAACAGAAATGAAAGTTATTTACATTAAAAGTTTTTATTGTTGTTGTTTTGTAAAGGTTAAGGTAAATTAAGTATGTATTTGGCTTATTCAGTTTATTCAAGAGAGACAAGAGAGAACATTTATTGATTGATTGATTTAATGTAGTTTTACCTGTGGACAGAGAAGATTAAACAAGATCCTATGAAATCTGGATGATTTGCTCTGAACTGCTCAGTGATGTTTCTGTAGACCTCCAGAGACCACGCTTTGTCATGGGTAGTGCCATCGAGTTCATATGCCTGAACATAATTATAAAATATACACATTTTTCATCCAAGTGCACATATATACTGAAATATGGTGATGTGGTTTAAGAGCCACAAACCTTGGACTGTCCAACCCTCAGCTCCAGGTACATGATGTTGTATTTGTAAAGCTCCTTCAGACCCTGGTAGATGTAGTCTTTAAAGACAGGTGCATATGTGATCAGCCCAGATAGAGCGATAAAAGTCTTCTCAAACCTGTCCCATGCTGCATCTTGTGTCGGATAAGACGTCTCCGGGTCTTCCGTGAAAAGTGTGAGATTCCGCATTAAACTGAGAAAGGTAATTTGCTTAATTAGTTTATTTTCTCTTAGTTGGTTCTAGAACTGTTTATAATACAGCCCTGCAGCTTGAAAAAAAATCTGCTGATTTGCTATCAATCAATTAATCAATCGATCAATAAAATATATTTAATTTGATGAATCGGAGTTAAAAAATATCAATAAAACTTCCATTAGTTTTTGTAACACAATAAGAATTACGTTTTTTTCAAATATGAATGTATCGACATTAATGCACTTGACAAAAATCAACAACTAAAAAACTATTTTAAAAAATACAAAAATTATATGTTTAACTTTATTCTGCAAAGTAGTGGAAAATATATTCACATACTCTATTTAATGTCAAAGGAATTTAGAAAATAAGCTTTTTTCCCCACAAAATATGTAATTTTCTGTTGCTGTTTAGATGTAGTAAAACACCCACAGTCAGAAAACATCTGGGTCATGTTTGCATTTTCTTCTGTCACTTGCCGTAATTCTAACCTTGAAATCAGAATTAGGCATAAAATTGTCTTTCAAATCATTGATTCATGTGAACATCAGCTGAGAATTTATCAAACACCTAACCTGGCTTCATGTCATGTCTTTGTGGCTGTTTTTCTGCTGCATGATTAAGTGATAATGCAAGACATATTCACCGTACAAATGGTTGTCAAAAGAAAAATGCTATGAAATGCATGAGAAAGTGTGATAGGCAAAAACTATTTCTGGAATCAGCACCCCAAAATTAGTAAGAAGCAAGTACTGGATTTCATTTAGCAAATATATTTGAGGTCATTTTTGCCATGCTTTATATAAAAGAGCCACTAAAGCCATACCTAATATATATATATATATGTGTGTGTATATATATATATATATATATATATATATATATATATATATATATATTATATATATATTTATTTATTTATTTATTTTTACAAAACAAATGGCCACAATAACAGTGGCCATTCAGGGCATTTTAGTGAATTGAAAAGCATATATATATATATTTTGATATATATACACACACACAGTATATGATGCTTTTCAATTCACTAAAATGCCCTGAATGGCCACTGATATTGTTTGTACCAGTGGACAAATGTGGCTATCTTAAATCTGATGTTGAAATACGTTTAATCACCTGTTATCAAAGGCAGTGACATCACTCAGACTTGCCCTCAGCACATCTAATCGTTTCCACAAAGAGCATCCCCATCGCAGAAAGGGTGTATTGGCTGAGAAAAGGAACTGCACTGACCCGTCCCACGTGAAGCAAATGTAACAATGAGGCCTGTATGTTGCATTCATTACCAGCCAATCCACACTCACCATAGCAGAGCTGTGGATGTGAAGAGCTGCACCTGTAAGGCACAGAGACATTTTATTATCTGAAGGACAGATGTTTCCCAGATATACGAGTAGTAGTTTTACCCTTTGGCATTTTCTGTAGCAGTTTGAAGACAGGGCTTTTTTGCATGGTGTGCCGCATTTTGAAGAAGTGATTGGCAGGTGGGAAAGGTGAAGTAGCCATTTCCAATTCATTAGCAAAGTTGTTTTGGTGTAATTTGCACCTACACTCAGCCTGGACGTTCAGGTTGCGACATGATTTTAGAAATTCAAAGTCTAAATGTGTAGCTTGAAGTCTAAGATTTATTATGGATTATGGGCTTGTATTTTAGCCAGAAGTGATGGTTTAAAATACCTTAATGATTCATTTATTACAAGCATGCAGTTTTTGTTTTGGACATTTTTTGCTTCACAAGACATTGATGGACTGGAGTGGTGTGGATTATTGTGATGTTTTTATCAGCTGTCTGGACTCTCATTCTGACGGCACCCATTCACTACAGAGGAACCATTGGTGAGTCAAGTCAAGTCACCTTTATTTATATAGTGCTTTTAACAATACAGATTGTGTCAAAGCAACTGAACAGCATTAATTAGGAAAATAGTGTCAATAATGCAAAATGACAATAGTAAACACTAATTTTTCGGTGAAAGACAGTTCATCATTGAATTCAGTGATGTCAACATCCAGCTCAGTTTAAATAATATCTTTGCAATCAAGTCAACGATATCGCTGGAAATGAAGTGTCCCCAACCAAGCAAGCCAGAGGCGACAGCGGCAAGGAACCAAAACTCCATCAGGGACAGAATGGGCCAGTTCTCCTCTGAGCAGATGAACCAGCAGTACAGAATAATCAATTTAAGACGTAATAAAACAGACCATGAACAATATTAACAGCAATTATTTTATGATGCAATCAAACTTATAGCAAAATGTGGTAGTTCTGTATGTTGTTTCAGGGTTCGCATCATCTGAGGTCCTCTGAGGGGTTGCATCATCTCTTCTCAGGTGTTCTGGATCAAGTGATGCAAGTGATGTAATGCTAAATTTCTCCAAATCTGTTCTGATGAAGAAACAAACTCATCTACATCTCTGATAGCCTGAGAGTACATTTTCAACAAGTTTTCTTTTTGGGCAAACTACTCCTTTAAACTTGTAAATCATAAGTCTACACTTGTTTTCTTATTTACTGGAAAAAGGTTAAAGGTCAGGACAAGTCAGATGTCAACTTTATTTCATTATTTTAAGATGAGTTCTACTTCTGCTACTAATAATAGTTCAGCTGTTTTCTCACTCGCAAATATTTTTGCAGTCATTCTGTAAAAAGCATTTGAAAGGATCTATTGTAAGTTCACTTGGCACACCATTTAAATTTTGAAACTTTGAACAGAAATGTTATTAATATTTATTATATCAAGTATTTTACATGATAATCATAAAAAAAATTAGATCATTCAGCACAGGTTTTGTTAGATCTATTTCCTTATTTTTATATGGTATAGCTTAGACCCCAGCTTTTGCAATAATCAAATAATTTACATTCCTAACAATTTAATCTGGAAAACTTCAGTGGTAGGAAAACAGCAAACCTTAAAAAAATTACTATTGATTATTAATAATAAAGAACTCCATTCACATGCTAAAAGTGACCTTACCTTCAAGTTTATTTTGCTCATTACTTTTTGTTCCCTGCTCTTTGACTTACATCCAGAGAACAAGCATTTCAGCTGCTGTCTGTCTGTATGTCTAGTGCGATGAAGTTCCTCATTCTGCAGGACCAGCACATGTTCAGAATGTGATGACAATGGAGCATGTGACATACTGTGAAATCTCAAGTGACCCAGAAACAAGAGCCTTCTGCAAACCCTTCTCATTATGACATTCCCCAAATGACTGGCATTTACCCGCTGACAACACAAGACTCAGTAAGAAGACAATGGGAGAAGATCTGTTTGGTACTGTTTTTCATTATATATCATTTTCACATCAATATAATCTTTGCAGCAATAACAGACACGATTGCTTGTGATATACAGGTCATGCTCTGCACCACAGGAAAGCAAATACAAATTTTGTTTTTCTGATGGATGTTCAAGATGGGTCCGTCTTCTCCTCCACAGCCACAAAATGGGTGAGTTCACAAACAATCATGGAATTTCTACATCGGTTTAAGACTGAGCTCACTCAGGCGTTTCTGTAAACATAACCGTGTTATATTACAGCTGCATTCAGAATCAAACACATGAGATGTTATGGACCAGAGTTCTAGCAGCCAAACGAAACACTATTTTGATCCTTTTTACAGCAATAATGAATCACCACACACACATACACATGATATTTTCTTAAATACAAGGAATGGAGTCTTTAACATCAGAATAAAAATAAAAATACAACATCAAACAATGGCGTTCTGCCGTGGTTTGGAGCGAGTGAGGATCAGTCCATGAACTTGCGGTTCTGGTTTGCACCAAATAGGGTGACTCGGATTTCCGGCATCATCTGAAAAGAATCGAAAATGAAAAATCTATCGTACAATTCACACGGCTTCTCTTAATCGTAACCCTCTCGGCCCAATTTCTGTACCTGTTGTGCTATGAGGTTCAGCCTGCTCTCCAGAGTGTTGGACACTTTGATCTTCCCATCAGCATTATACAGCTCGATACCACCAGAGCTACGAAAAAACACAGAGACTTTCATTTCATATATTCAAAAACCACAATTAAGTAAAAAAAGATATTCAGGCTAATTTTGTAAACGAGATATTGAAACGGCAGATGCTCACACTTCTGGAGAGAGGAAGTTCTCCTGGTCAATACGCACTTCAAGATTGTCCTTCACTGCTGCCTTGTAGATAGGAATGTTTTTCTGCACAGCAGCCTAATATAACATGTTTGTGCTTGGTTTATATCATGAAGTAATCGGTTATTAATAATTGCCAAAGTGATACACAACATTATTTGCTGCAGCAAGTGTTATTTTTAGAGTCATTGAGATACTATTATAGATTTTATTAAAATTATGAATGTTTTATTTTCATTTTATCTAAAGTTTCAAATGTAATTGTTTTTTGTCATTGTATTTGTTTTAGTTATTTCAGTACATGAAGTTAAAATATGTATGTGTGTGTGTGTGTATGTGTGTATATATATATATATATATATATATATATAAACTATAGAAGTGTATATATAATTATATAACTATAACTATATTTAATGTTTGTGCTTGGTTTATATCATGAAGTAATCGGTTATTAATAATTGCCAAAGTGATACACAACATTATTTGCTGCAGCAAGTGTTATTTTTAGAGTCATTGAGATACTATTATAGATTTTATTAAAATTATGAATGTTTTATTTTCATTTTATCTAAAGTTTCAAATGTAATTGTTTTTTGTCATTGTATTTGTTTTAGTTATTTCAGTACATGAAGTGAAAATATGTATGTGTGTGTGTGTGTATGTGTGTATATATATATATATATATATATATATATATATATATAAACTATAGAAGTGTATATATAATTATATAACTATATAAGTTAAACTATATTTAAATTAGTATCATTGAGATACTATTACAGTGTTTTTAATATTTTGCATTTTCTTTTTAATTTCAAAGTTTTAGTAATTTAGCTGTTTTTGTAATTTTTTGTCTTTTTTATTTATTATATTTAAGTTTTAGTTATAGTTATTTTAGTACATCAAGTTAAAATAAATTAAAAAAATAAAAATGCCGTCTTAGTAACTAGCTAAAATAAAATACATAATTTACATTATATAATACACCATATAATCTTAGATTGCTGAAGCCAGTGTTTTTTTTTTGTTTGTTTCATTAATATGCTATTATAGTTTTTATTAATATTTACAAATTTCCATTTTAATTTCAAAGTTTTACTAATTTTGTGTGCCTTTTTGTTTTTAACATTTATTTTTTATTTTTATATCATCTTTTGATATTTTAATACATCAAGCTAAACTAAATGAAAATTAGTAATGTCTTCTTGGCAACTAGCTGAATTTTTGTGTTTTATTTCAAAGTAACACAATTGTTTTTTTGTTATGGTTTTAGTTTTAGGTTTAGTGGACTACAGACCTGCACTATGCCCACGTCCTGTTTGCGGCAACGGATGGTCACTTTGCGTTCCAGGAGCTGGTAAAAACCCTGAAACATGAGAATATCAGAGTGTGTCCTGATAAGACTCGCATACAGTCTTTGACAGACATGGTTTGCTATAATGTTTAATTATACAATCACTCACCTGCAGGACCAGGCCGTCCATCAGAGCAGCGTATCTGGATGGATCTCTGGCTACATTCGCTAGTCGCTGACGTGCATCATTTAGCAAATCCTAAAAAAAAAAAAAAATTTGTATTAATAAATTAAAGATTTAATACTGCAACGTACATAGACAACATAAACCTAATATTTGTTTTAAGGCTAGATGTGCTACAAAAGAGAACAGAAACGAACCGAAATCATGTCATCACGGGCCTTCAGGACCTTCAGTCTGGCCTGGTTCATTAGGTTGGACATTTGACTGTGGACATGAAGCAAACATTTAAAACATCTGAACATTCATAAATAACTAAATGCTCTGAAACTTTTTACTGCGTGAAATAATTGTTTGAGTAACAAATTTTGAGGAAACTGGAAGTTTGCACAGTAATGATTTGGGCGTCTGGCTGTTTCAGTCAGAGGAAGTCACACTCACATTTTCTTCTGCTCTCCTCCACAGCCACAAAATGGGTGAGTTCACAAACAATCATGGAATTTCTACATCGGTTTAAGACTGAGCTCACTCAGGCGTTTCTGTAAACATAACCGTGTTATATTACAGCTGCATTCAGAATCAAACACATGAGATGTTATGGACCAGAGTTCTAGCAGCCAAACGAAACACTATTTTGATCCTTTTTACAGCAATAATGAATCACCACACACACATACACATGATATTTTCTTAAATACAAGGAATGGAGTCTTTAACATCAGAATAAAAATAAAAATACAACATCAAACAATGGCGTTCTGCCGTGGTTTGGAGCGAGTGAGGATCAGTCCATGAACTTGCGGTTCTGGTTTGCACCAAATAGGGTGACTCGGATTTCCGGCATCATCTGAAAAGAATCGAAAATGAAAAATCTATCGTACAATTCACACGGCTTCTCTTAATCGTAACCCTCTCGGCCCAATTTCTGTACCTGTTGTGCTATGAGGTTCAGCCTGCTCTCCAGAGTGTTGGACACTTTGATCTTCCCATCAGCATTATACAGCTCGATACCACCAGAGCTACGAAAAAACACAGAGACTTTCATTTCATATATTCAAAAACCACAATTAAGTAAAAAAAGATATTCAGGCTAATTTTGTAAACGAGATATTGAAACGGCAGATGCTCACACTTCTGGAGAGAGGAAGTTCTCCTGGTCAATACGCACTTCAAGATTGTCCTTCACTGCTGCCTTGTAGATAGGAATGTTTTTCTGCACAGCAGCCTAATATAACATGTTTGTGCTTGGTTTATATCATGAAGTAATCGGTTATTAATAATTGCCAAAGTGATACACAACATTATTTGCTGCAGCAAGTGTTATTTTTAGAGTCATTGAGATACTATTATAGATTTTATTAAAATTATGAATGTTTTATTTTCATTTTATCTAAAGTTTCAAATGTAATTGTTTTTTGTCATTGTATTTGTTTTAGTTATTTCAGTACATGAAGTTAAAATATGTATGTGTGTGTGTGTGTATGTGTGTATATATATATATATATATATATATATATATATATATAAACTATAGAAGTGTATATATAATTATATAACTATATAAGTTAAACTATATTTAAATTAGTATCATTGAGATACTATTACAGTGTTTTTAATATTTTGCATTTTCTTTTTAATTTCAAAGTTTTAGTAATTTAGCTGTTTTTGTAATTTTTTGTCTTTTTTATTTATTATATTTAAGTTTTAGTTATAGTTATTTTAGTACATCAAGTTAAAATAAATTAAAAAAATAAAAATGCCGTCTTAGTAACTAGCTAAAATAAAATACATAATTTACATTATATAATACACCATATAATCTTAGATTGCTGAAGCCAGTGTTTTTTTTTTGTTTGTTTCATTAATATGCTATTATAGTTTTTATTAATATTTACAAATTTCCATTTTAATTTCAAAGTTTTACTAATTTTGTGTGCCTTTTTGTTTTTAACATTTATTTTTTATTTTTATATCATCTTTTGATATTTTAATACATCAAGCTAAACTAAATGAAAATTAGTAATGTCTTCTTGGCAACTAGCTGAATTTTTGTGTTTTATTTCAAAGTAACACAATTGTTTTTTTGTTATGGTTTTAGTTTTAGGTTTAGTGGACTACAGACCTGCACTATGCCCACGTCCTGTTTGCGGCAACGGATGGTCACTTTGCGTTCCAGGAGCTGGTAAAAACCCTGAAACATGAGAATATCAGAGTGTGTCCTGATAAGACTCGCATACAGTCTTTGACAGACATGGTTTGCTATAATGTTTAATTATACAATCACTCACCTGCAGGACCAGGCCGTCCATCAGAGCAGCGTATCTGGATGGATCTCTGGCTACATTCGCTAGTCGCTGACGTGCATCATTTAGCAAATCCTAAAAAAAAAAAAAAATTTGTATTAATAAATTAAAGATTTAATACTGCAACGTACATAGACAACATAAACCTAATATTTGTTTTAAGGCTAGATGTGCTACAAAAGAGAACAGAAACGAACCGAAATCATGTCATCACGGGCCTTCAGGACCTTCAGTCTGGCCTGGTTCATTAGGTTGGACATTTGACTGTGGACATGAAGCAAACATTTAAAACATCTGAACATTCATAAATAACTAAATGCTCTGAAACTTTTTACTGCGTGAAATAATTGTTTGAGTAACAAATTTTGAGGAAACTGGAAGTTTGCACAGTAATGATTTGGGCGTCTGGCTGTTTCAGTCAGAGGAAGTCACACTCACATTTTCTTCTGCTGTTCGATCTGTTTCTCCTTCTTCTCATAATACTCCATAATCTTCAGACGCTGAGTCTGAACCAGCCGACCTTTCTCAATGTTGAACTCCTCCTCTGCCTGCAGGGGAGTCACTTATCATCATATCAGTTCTTATAAACAGTTCATTTCCACTGTCACAGCCTCTTAAAGATAGTCTTTAGATGTTTTAGTGGAATAATTTAAAGCTAGGCTAGACTAAATTAAAAAATTACCTTTGCATCAATCTCCTCTGCTTTTTCATTGGCCTCCTGCTCAATGAAAGCCATCATGTGCTTGATCTGGAAAGATATGGGAATCAAAAGAACAATAATTCCATATCTATCAGGCAAAAAATGCTTTAAAGGAACATGAAAAGCAGAAGTCTAACAGGATTACTATATTTAAAACCCACTTGTAAATGCAAGCACTTGCATATCTTTGTTTCCTAATTTTGTATAAAATACATTGTTAGACCCTTGTTGGTTGTTTCCTCTGAGAAAAATCATCTGAAATCTGTTTAATGTTACAGTAGCAATGAGTTGCCCTGTTGTGGCTCCATCACAAGGATGTGGAATGTGTCTGTCAGTGTGTGTGTGTGTGTGTGTGTGTGTGTTTAGTATGTTATTACTATGCAGAACGTCCTGCATCTTAATATTCGGTATCATCTGCATTCTAAAATTGGTCTTTTTGTTGTGAATATTTGATATTATTCATCACACTACCTTGGTGCATTTGTTTTCGAATGAGATGCTCGATTTAATTTTTCCTTATTGATCCTTTATGCACATGTGCGTGATCGCGTATACGTATTAAAATGTATTAATATAAATTCACTATTATTATATAGACAGGTCTCGTGATTCAAGCGCGTGTCTAATGAATAAATGACGAACAACCTTGAAGGCCACATCATGGTATTTTATGATCGATGCTCGTGCCAGGCTCGCCTAAAACAATGCATTTGTCAAATCACCGAGGGGTTAATCTTGCTACAGTGTTACGGTGTAATATAGAATAAAGTATGCATTTGAACGCTTTTCACCTGCTTCTGGACGTCGGCATCGCTGAGCGCCATGACTGCTGCTGCTGCTGCTGCTGCTGTAAGAGGATTTTAAACTCCACCGACTGAAAGGGCTCGTTTCGCGGCGACGGAAAGACGTCTGCGTGAAAAAATAGATATCAAATATATTTTCGAAAAGCCTACAGATTTAAAAACGCACAAAAAATGACATGAAAGGGTCGACCGTGACAGTGTCCGAGTCGTGGAAATAGACTGGAAGGATCAGCTGATTCTCAGTCAATGATGACACACGCGTCACATGGTGCGTGCTTCCTCTCTGGGAGCCAATCAGATCACAGTGCGCGTCTAGGCTTTTTGTTGCAGTTTATGTGGCATGCGATTATTTTGAACCTGTTACAGGCGATAATAATAATGACAATATTACTAATAGTAATAATAAAATATGAAACTTAAAAAAAAGGCTTGTGTAGTTTAAAATGATAAAATAACAACATAAACCTAGTCTGTGAGGGAATGGATTGTACTGTTGTTTAGCAACATACTGATTGTTCAGTTGATCAGATGTCGTTCCAAAAAGCTTTAAGTACACCAAAACTCCATAAAACAGGCTTGGATGTTGTGAGACGTACAAATTACGTACCACAGACGTTTATACAGCAAGTGCCATAGTAAAAACTGTACACAAACTGTATTCGGGCACATATGATCATTGTGAAGTGGTGGAAAAATGAGGGGAAAGAGGAAGTAACATTGACCTTAAAGGGATAGTTCACCCCAAAAAGAAAATTTGATGTTTATCTGCTTACCCCCAGGGCATCCAAGATGTAGGTGACTTTGTTTCTTAAGTAGAACACAAACGAAGATTTTTAACTCAAACCATTGTAGTCTGTCAGTCATATAATGGAAGTGAATGGGAATCCCGGCTTTGAGAGTAAAAAAAACATACACAAAGAAAACCAAATTTAACCCTGCGGCTCGTGACGAACTGTCCTGAGTGCGTTCTCAACAGCCATTCGCCTTAAAGCAAGAAGAAGAAGAAGAAGACGCATCTATGAATGGGAATCCCGGCTTTGAGAGTAAAAAAAACATACACAAAGTAAACCAAATTTAACCCTGCGGCTCGTGACGAACTGTCCTGAGTGCGTTCTCAACAGCCATTCGCCTTAAAGCAAGAAGAAGAAGAAGAAGACGCATCTAGCGCCGGCTGTTGAGAATGTGCTCAGGACAGTTCGGACATTGCGGTGAATCAGAGGTAAAAAACGATTTAAATACTGTTCAGTTTCTTGCACAGACCGATCGTTTTGTGTCTTTACACATCAATGTATCGTCACGAGGTGTATCGTTTAATTTGGTTTTGTTTGTGTATGTTTTTTTGACTCTCAAAGCCGCGATTCCCATTCACTTCCATTATATGACTGACAGACTGCAACGGTTTGAGTTAAAAATCTTCGTTTGTGTTCTACTGAAGAAACAAAGTCACCTACATCTTGGATGCCCTGGGGGTAAGCAGATAAACATCAGTTTTTCCTTTTTGGGTGAACTATCCCTTTAATCACAAGATGGACGCTAACTTTGTCAGACAAACAAATGTCAAGCAAACTGGAATCAAATTCAAACAGATCGATGTGTCATGACCCTCATTATAGAACCGAACAAAGGTAAGAGGACCGATGGGAGTTTTACTGCTTTGTCGTGTCACCATGAGTTGGGCAGATGTAATTGGATAGGGGTGGGATTTTAGGGGGCAGGGAAGTGTTGGACTGCATTCTGTTGCTCCAGTGACCCTCCTCTGTATTTATTCAAGCCTCCAGTCTGACTAAACCTTGCCCTCAGAGAAGGTAAGATCTGTTTTCAATGGCTGCTTTTGCAGAGTTAAGACTGTTTGTATTCTGTGTGTAGACTTTTGTCTATAACAGAAGGGTATTTACTGTTTTCCAGTCTTAAAAATATGACGATATGTGCTGTTTCAATTTCTTGTATGGGTAATATGAGAATGTAAGCTTAGGCAGTTTGTTTTCATTTCAAATGATACTCCATTTCATAAAATCTGCAGTGCTGTAAGGTACCATAAGCATGTTTTCTATAACAGTAGTAATATAGTGGAATCTGTCACGCTTTAACAGGCTGAAAAGATAATTAGATTAGATCGTCTCATTATATTAACTGTCTGGTTAGTCAATGACTTATTCAGCCATACTTAACTAGTTACTCCTGCTGGTTAAAATATGCCTCTCTTTAGGTTTATACAGAATAACTGACCTGTGTTGTCATTCTCGCCTGTTTCTCATTTTTTCCGTTGGTTCACAATCTGCCTCTGTCAGAGGTCAAAGTTAAAAAGCTACAGCATGTATTTCTTGCTCATCTGATCCCTTTAAGCACTTCGACCTTTGATCTTGCCGATGGGCTTTAGTTTACTGTCTCTTCACAATCTGACTGTTGATTAGTCAGATTTTCACAGAGGAGTAAAAGATCTTCCATCCTGTCTGATGACAGGCAGTTTGTGGGGCCCGACTCTCGTCAGGATCAAACCTCAAGCCTGGAGGAGAGCAGCAGTGGGTCCGGCCCCTGGCAGACTGCTAGTCTTGCTGAGTCCTGGGCATCCATTGGCGACATGGAGCCAGAGCTTGGAAGACTAGAAACCAGTGAGATTGTCCTAGTTCAAGAGGACCACAGCAAAAACCACTTCTCCGCCTCTAACAACATCATCCACCTAGAGGTGGAGCTCCATCAGAGGGCGGAGTCAGAAGAGGAGGAGGAGCTTCAGAGCAGCATGCTGAGCATGATTGGCAGTGAGAAGGAGCTGGAAGAGATTGGAGCACATCCTGCAGACTCAGATCTCAAGCCTCCAGAGACTGTGGAGCTCCTGATGTGTGTGGAGGAGCCAGTTGTGGAGGAAATTGAGGCAGAGATGGATTCAGAGCCAGTTTTCACTCACACTCTTCTTCTGTCTGAGCCTTTAGATTTTACGCTGGCTTCGGTTCCCATACCTGAAATCATCTCACAGGTTTTAGATAATCTCCCACCCTCCACACTCACACACTCAGAGGAACCTCATGCTTCTCAATCAGGCTCTATTAATGCACCTAGTGTGCCAGCGGCATCTTCAGAAGAGGTTGTTCCAAAGGCAGACCCGCTTTCAGCCGCACCCTTTGAACTCCCTGTGCTGCTGGTTGGTGGCACCGCCCTGGTGGCGGCAATGGCAATACTCACATTTAACTTGATTAGAAAGTAGCTGTAGATCTCTTTAATAGTTTCAAAATTGTAGAACAATTCAACAAATTGTATTACTGATTATGTGATATAAAAAATTAGAAGGTTATTAAATATTGTCTTATTTTGTATTTTTACACACATACACACAGACTAAACACAATCTGAGAGTCTGGATCATCTTTAACCCCAAAAATCAAAAGAAAAAATACATTGGCTGAAATCATCTCACAGGTTTTAGATAATCTCCCACCCTCCACACTCACACACTCAGAGGAACCTCATGCTTCTCAATCAGGCTCTATTAATGCACCTAGTGTGCCAGCGTCATCTTCAGAAGAGGTTGTTCCAAAGGCAGACCCGCTTTCAGCTGCACCCTTTGAACTCCCTGTGCTGCTGGTTGGTGGCACCGCCCTGGTGGCGGTAATGGCAATACTCACATTTAACTTGATTAGAAAGTAGCTGTAGATCTCTTTAATAGTTTCAAAATTGTAGAACAATTCAACAAATTGTATTACTGATTATGTGATATAAAAAATTAGAAGGTTATTAAATATTGTCCCTTGTCTTATTTTGTATTTTTACACACATACACACAGACTAAACACAATCTGAGAGTCTGGATCATCTTTAACCCCAAAAATCAAAAGAAAAAATACATTGTGGTATGTGTTATACAAGACTTCCGTTTATTCTGATTTTAATAAAAAATAATTATCTGTACAATAGAAAGGTGACAGGATCATTTTCAGTATTACAGTACAAATATAGGCTAATTTTTCTTTTAAAAATATTTTTCAAACTAATGACTTAATTTGTTTATTAATATTTTGGGTGACATGTTTATTAATAAATAAAATCAATCAATAGTACAAATGATGTTAATTTTCAGTATTACAGTACAAATATAGGCTAATTTTTCTTTTAAAAATATTTTTCAAACTAATGACTTAATTTGTTTATTAATATTTTGGGTGACATGTTTATTAATAAATAAAATCAATCAATAGTACAAATGATGTTAATTTTCAGTATTACAGCACAAATATAGGTTTTATTTGTTTGTTTGTTTATTCACGCTTTTTATGAGATATGTTTTATAACTCATATGCTATCAATAGTAATACAAATTCTGTCATTTTTCTTTTAAAAATATTTTTCAAACTAATGACTTAATTTGTTTATTAATATTTTGGGTGACATGTTTATTAATAAATAAAAATCAATCAATAGTACAAATGATGTTAATTTTCAGTATTACAGCACAAATATAGGTTTTATTTGTTTGTTTGTTTATTCACGCTTTTTATGAGATATGTTTTATAACTCATATGCTATCAATAGTAATACAAATTCTGTCCATTTTTAATATTACAGTACAAATCTAAGCTTAATTTTCTCCAAAATATATGTAATTAAATTATTTTTTTTGTTTTTGTTTTTTGGGGTGAGATATGTTCAATAAATAAAAAGCAATCAATAATAATTCAAGTGCTGCCATTAATATGTGGATGGATGGCGCTGTGTCCAATATGTAATATCACCTCTCCGACAGCAGGTGGCAGTATGAATCTCATCTCACCATAGACTGCGAGCGACAAGCAAGACAGTGTGTACGGAAGTATTTGCTATTCCCATGATTTATACCCAGTAAGAGCCTCAGATCCTCCAAAATGAGTAAATCAAGAACCTTGAAGAAAGAGATAATAAGTGGGGCAAGCGAGGTAAATGGCATATTAATAGATGAAAATGTGTGCCGTATTATGTGTATGAAACAGCTAACAGATAACCTTACACTTATGTCAGTCTAATGAAAATTAGATGTGAAATTATATATATATTAAAAAACAAGAACAAAGTAAAGCAGATCATAATGTCGTTGTGTCATAGTGCCATTCATATCGTTGTATCTATTGAGATATGATGCTCATAGGTTGGTCTCTTTAAAGAAGAGCGCAAATGGCCAACTCTCGCAAGACAAATAAACAACCGCTGCTTCAAAAACAAGCCAATTTTTTTGATGATTTATTATTATCAATATGATTTATTATCAATTATTTATTACCAATAAGTGAGCCTGCAACCTATTAAACTGAAACCACTCTTTTATCTGAAAAGCAAAAACAGAAGCTATTTTACAAAAAGCAGCAAACTGCAACAAAGATGGGACCAAAACTAATCTCCAATCACCTGTGTGCAGAATATGATTGGAGAGATGGAAAAGGAGAAAAACACAAGAGCTTCAACGGGGAGCTGTAACATAGCCACATATTTATAGCCTACTATAATATAGGCTATTCGAACCATATTTACTCTTAGTATTAGTATAGGACTACTTGTTTTTTATTACAGCCCGTGATAATTAATACATTACAAAAACATTGTAAAAATTAAAAAATAGGCTAAAAGAAAGTCATCCCACTCCTCTACGTCTACTTCTGTCATCGCTTGGATTACAGTGTCACGGCACGCGCCTTCTTTTTGAACGTGATTCTCTCCAATGAAGGGGGAGGAGGGGGCGGGACATTTGGCAAATTACGCTGCAGCACTTCTATTATTGCACTGGTTGGCTATTAACTGCGAGCAGACAGAGTGGCATTCAATGCATTGGAGAATACGGCGAACATAAATAAAGAAACGAAGTTGCTTGTCAGATTTCCCTAGCAAGCAACCATATTTTTTTTAAATAAGCCCAAAAAACCGCAACCCGCGACCTGGGATTTTTTCACGCAACTTTATAAAAAAAGAAGCCCAAAGTCGGGTATAATACGCGGATTTGGCAACTATAATTACACTGTAAAAACAACCTGGAGAGGGCAGAATTCAGAGAAAAGAGCAACTCTCAGACAACGACAGGTGATTATGCCAACATCATTATAAACACAATAAGCGTTTTGCCGCATTATCTAATACAGCAAACGAGTCTTTTAATGTGCTTACAGGCTGGCCCTGGAAGATGAGATGACCACATTGAATGAAAGAATACCGAAATACGGTTAGTCAGTTTTCTGGAAAGTTTAGGGGTGTAAAAATGCATACATTTTGACAATGAAAATTAAGTGCATTGGTCATGGACTGTAATAACAAATTATACATTTTGTAATAATACCCAGTGTATGAATTTGTAGATTTGTTTATTCAAAATACACAAGCTATTTTCCTAAAATTCTTATGAAGCATGCAAAATGGTGACCGCATTTCTGATTTCTTGATGCATTGCATCACTTGGTAAAGAAAATTATTGTGGGAGCAATTTTTATGTGATAGTATCTTGTACGTTTTATTCTTCAGAAAAGGAGCTGCAGGTGCTGAGAGTAGAGACCAGGAAGAACATGATGCTGTCCGTCGCTCTGTTAGCCATCAGTGCTCTTTTCTGCTACACATTTATTTATTAAGAAGTATTTTCTGTCATGCCAAACACTGTCTGAGAATGAGATTTGGGGACGCTGATGTTTATTCATACCCATCCGTGTTCATCATTTGGCAACACTGGTTTGCTCAGAGGTTGTGGATTTGTCAGTGTCGTTTTTGCCATAAATACCTTATGCCATCTTCATCTTGGCCTCGACATCCTGGATTGCCTCAACTCTATATTTTGTTTGCCGTGTAACAAAGAGACATTAGATGCTTGTGCATCAGAAAGAGACACAGAATTGGGATTATGTATGTTTATATGATCCTCATTGTCAAGCACTTTACCTAATAATGACTAAATTATGTTTCTCTCCAGATCACTGTTTATTGCATTTCAACAGGACTAACATGCACAAAGGTGGGAGGGGCAGAGGGTGTTATTCCATCCAAAAATAAAATTTATCAACAAAATGTTCAGATGAAATAAAAAACAGCCATCGATAAAATGCAATACTGTCCCATTAAACTGCCGTTCATCCCTTTGATATCCTTGATACTTGTAGCAAATAGTATTGGTAATACACTCACTTGTAATACAACAAAACAGGCAGCCAGGTATATTTAACAGTTCATTGAAAAAATTTAAATTTGCTCACTCACCCTCAGGACATCCAATATGTCGACGAGTTTTTCTTCATCAGGACAGATTTGGTGAAATTTGGCATTACATCACTTGCTCAGCAATGGATCCTCTGCAGTGAATGTGTGCTGTCAGAATGAGAGTCTAAACAGCTGATAAAAACATCACAAGTAATCTACACCACTCCAGTACATTAATCAACAATTTGTGATTGAAAAGCTGCACGTATGTAAGAAACAAATCCATCATTGAGGCATTTTAACTTTAAACCGTCATTTCTGGCCTAAATATGATGCAATAATCCATAATAACGCTTCCTCCAGTGAAAAAGGGTGTTCCTTGTTGTCCTCTCTCATTGAAATCCACCAATATTTGTTTAGAACTGTTTTGGTCTGTTGTAAATGGTTTCATATGTGCCTTTTTCTCTCCTGATTCAGATGAGACGACTTTCACCGGAGAAAGCAATTTTATAGATACGACTCATATTTTAGCCGAAAGCAACGTTTTGAAGTTACAACTGTTTTGATGGATTTGTTCCTTACAAACACACATGTTTTTGTTTCATGTTGATTGATGAACTGGAGTGGTGTGGATTACTTGTGGATTATTGTGATGTGTTTATCAGCTGTTTGGACTCTCATTCTGACGGCACCCATTCACTGCACAGGATCCATTGGTGAGACAGTGATGTGATACATTTCTGTTCTAATGAAGGAACAAAACTCAACTACATCTTGGATGGCCTGAGGGTGAGTACATTTTAAGCAAATTTTAATTTTTGGTTGAACTATTCTTTTAAGACTGATTTGATGATTAAGATGTTGGTGAACTTGCTGCTGATAGAATCTGATCTGGCTCAATGGCATCCCCTTTGCTCAACAGAGGGATTACATGCTGAGATATTATATTGTACATACTAGCAGGACTTGATCGGCTCAGTGCCTTGTGATGGACAGACATTTGTACTAATGGGATTACTAACTAGCCATGTAGTATGCAAAGTAAACTTCTGACATAACTAAAATATATTCAAACTTTTTATCTCAAAATAAAGACTAAGGATATTCAAAACAATCTGCCTTTTAAAATTCTTTAAAATGCATATGTATTTTCATAAAATAGTCACATGTTGCATGTAACTCACAATCGATAGATACGAAAAAGAATAAAATCAGGGCATTGATAAAAACAAACAGTACGTGAGACACTATCTTAACTCGTAATACGTTGATATTGTTCCCACAGAAGTTATTCCATGGTCAAAAGATGACTAATACTCCACTGATGATGACACAGACCGGCCCAGTGATATTCACCACAGCAAAAAAACATTTTCCACATAAAACGTCACACTTTTGATTTGATTTCCCACGGAAAGCGAGCCAGGAAAAATGAATGCACATCTATCCTCAAGAGACATGCAGATGCACATTCAAGAATGCATCTGTCATTCTCCTCCTGTTTAATTTTTTTTTTTTAAATATATAGATCTGAAGTAACTGAGAACATTGAAATACAAACACACACACACATGTACTTATTCACATTCACGGTTTGTGCTACAACAACAGACAGGGAAGGGAAAGAGAGAAAAGGAGGGACTGGATGCCCTCATTGTGATGAATGGAAGAAAGAATACACACGTCTGATTCATCAGGTCTGCACAATAAGTGTGACAACTGCAATAGAGAAAAAAATAAATGGGTTTCAGTATTATACACTGGAAAAAAAACTCAAACTCAGTTTTTTTTTTGCAATACAACACTTTCTAAGTCTCAAATATTGAATGACTGTACAGATATTGAATGTTGATTAAATACTGATTGGACTGTCTTCCCCTGGTGGTTACAGCCTCATGTAAATGTTTTGCTTCTAAAAGCAGGCTATTTTCAACTACGTTCTTAATATTGCATATGCATCAGATACAGAACATAATTTCAGATGTGTCTCATTGTGTGTCCTGTGGTCAAATTGCACATCTGCTCTAGCTGTAGTGAAACTTACACCAGCTGTTCGTCTACATGAAGTCTTTGATATTGAGGTCAGCGAGAGGGTCTTTAGGAGGGGGAGGCTTCCTGGGACTCTGGGCTATTCCTGGAGAGATCTGAGGAGGACACGCACACATGCAAGGAGCGATAATAAATATGTGTGTATTTACACACCAAATAACTATATCAGTAAATTCAACTGCATGCATGTCTAAAATACCGGTTGTCCAGGGGCTCCTGCTGCGGGAAACTGTGGCCTCATCATTGGTTGCTGCGTGGCCATCATTGGTGAGCCAGGCATCATGGGAGCAGCTCCTGCACCAGGCTGTGAGTTACAGAGAGACACAGTAAGAGACACATACACCTGCACACTCACACACACACACATAAACACACACTCTTACCATGCCAAACGGTGACGGGGATCCCATGACAGGACAGACCCCGATAGGGGAAGTCTAAGTGGGTGGGAGGGATGGGGGGGAAGGTTAGCACCAAACTACACAGAACAGGACAACACCTGAACAAAACGACTCTGACACACAGACACACAGAAGGGAATCTGCACACATGGGATGGTGGTTAGCAGTTTGATGTAAGTGTGAATTTGAATCATGCATGTATGTTTAGTAAGCCAAACAGGTTTGAAGCTCTAAAATCAAGACTAAACCTGAAATGCAATATTCATGTAAATTGACTTGATTTGAAGCTACTCTTTGGCTTTGTTCACATTGCACAAAAAATAACACAACATTGCAAAAAAAATTGAAAGTAAGATTAAGATTATGAATTCAAAGTTGGAAACATCCTTTTGTAAATAAGCAATTATCTAAATTCCAGGAGCACCAGTGCAATTAATAATAATAAGTTAAGAAATGTACAGTTGATTTTTCAACACTAAGTTTCAAATTTGAGAAAGCTCCTCCTCTTTAGTCCTTTTCATTCAGCTGATAGGAGCCAAGAGAGGGGCGGGGAGGAGAGGAAGCTTGTGATTGGCTCCACGCCATGCTGCTCAAAGCCATGCAACTCCACCCCCATGCTCCACATCTACAGAACAACACAACATTTACCATGGCAACGCCCCAGCTAGGGGTCGGTACCTGCGCTTGCCAGTTCGCCCCTCCAGCTGCTTCACCCCTGAGAGAAGAAAAAAAAGACAGAAATAGAGGAGGAACAAATACACAAATATTTATTTTGAGAGGACAAGAAAATATAGTGAAATATAGAGTAGGAAGTTACTGTAGCTTACGGTTTCTGGTTCCCCACTGCCAAATCTGCACAGACACGAAACATATATTTTTAGATTCTTACCATGTTAAGTTAGTCGTACACTCTTAAATATATATATATATATATATATATATATATATATATATACACACATACATAAACATTTTTTGCCATGATGCCATAGAATTAGCATTTTTGGTTCCCAAAAGAACCTTTAAGTGAACAGTTCTAAAAAGAAATATTTTTTTCCTAGTGTGAAGAACTTTAAAAAAATCTAAAGAACCTTTTCCCACTATAAAGAACCTTTTGTGGAATTAAAAGATTCCATGGATATTAAATATTCTTCATGGAACCTTAATCTTTAAAAGAACAATTTTTTGCTGTACTCTTTAAAATAAAGGTTCCAAAAGGTTTTTTTTTTCTTTTGCCATAGAAGAATTATTTAGGGTACTGCAAAGAACTTTTATTTTTCTTAGTGTGCAGAACATTTTAAATAATCTAAAGAAGCTTTTTCCACTATAAAGAACCTTCTAAAGGTTCTTCATGGAACCATAGCTGCGAATAAGGAACCTTTAATTTTAAGACTATGATTTTGGAGTACACCAAATTAAAAGTGGATGGGAACGTACTGCTGGCCATGTTGGCCATAGCTGAGTCCAGGTTTCCTCCCATGGGTTTGATCGGTGAGGTGGCCCCTGCTGCCTGCGGAGCCATAGCTGGCATGAGCACATCACCCAATCCATCGAAAGCTTTAAGGGGGAGTGAAGAGTAAGAAAAACATTGTGAGCTTGAATTTGAGTAATAGTAACAAAATGGGAGCTAAACTGAATGCTACCAACCCTTATACTGTACAGTGTACATCTCTATGGCAACCAGTACAAGAAAAATGTTTAAGATGAGTGCAAGAAGAGAGGAAGCTGAGCGCTATCATCGGCTACACTCACATGAACTCATGACACATTAAACATTCATTTCATCATAACATTTACCATCACTATCAATATTTAACAAAGCATAAGACTTGTTTCACACAGCATGCATAAGCAGAACTACCAAAGGCTTGCTTTGTGCTTTAATAATGACGCCACAAACTGCAGCTAAATACTGAAAATAACATGATTTCTGGGTTACTACATGGTATTATTACAGTTAACTATTAAAATGTTTTTGTTAACTGAAAAGTTAAGCACATTAAATGACCAAATATTACAATAAAAACTATGTAAATAAAAAAGCTAATTCAATATATTAAAGACAATATTAGTACATAAATAATAAAAAAAAAAACACTAATGCTAATTAGAATTAGTATGTCCCAAATCGTAGTATGTTGAAATGTGAGGTACCTGGATGGTTTACAATTTTCGGTGGAAATTTGAAGTGCAGATCCATGCACACTCTAACGGCAAATATTGCCCACAACCCATTGCGTGTTGGAAGAGGATTCGATTAGAACAGGGCTGTCCAAACTCGGTCCTGGAGGGCCGTTGTCCTGCAGAGTTTAGCTCCAACCCTAATTAAACACACCTGAACCAGCTAATCAAGCTCTTTACTAGGCATAGAAACTTCCAGTCAGGTGTGTTGCGGCAAGTTGGAGCTAAACTCTGCAGCCCTCCAGGACCGAGTTTGGACAGCCCTGGATTAGAACAACATACATAAATAAAAAAAAGTTTAAAAACTACAAACATGGCGGATATGTGAGACCGACGGATAGGGAGAGAAAGAGTTTTGAGTGATAAATAACCAATATCTAACCTGATGAAAAAATATTTATTTAATGTTATCCGTGTTATATTTCATCTGCAACAACATTGTGAACTTTCATAAACATTCGTTTGGTCATTAACTTTTAAAAGCATCATTATGCAAACACATGAGGAGAGTTCTCAGGATGAAAGACACACAACTAGCCGATCAATATAAATGTGAATAATGTGAATATGTGACAAGATGATTGACAGGGCAGTTTAAACTGTGACAGGATGCACGTAACTAAGCAACATATTGGTTCGTTAAAGATGTAATTATGACGAAGTGAGCTTACTATTACCTACTATTCTGCTACATACTCAAAAGTATGCACATTTTCTTCCCAAAAAGAGTACATACTTTTAGGGCAAAGTAGTAGGTGAATTGGAAAGCAGCGTAAATATTTCTTCTTCACATATGTTGTGAATCAAGCCTAAAATAGCCTACACAAGCTCTTACTGAGCACTGACTTAACAATATTCACATAATATACATTTCTACCATTACTTTCTACATGTTGTTGTACAGAATCTCACACTAGAGATCTTTGTAAAGCATTTAAACTTTCATTCATTCATTCATCCACTCATCTTCAAATCTTCCAAGCTTGGCTAGCAGTCTTTCAGTTGAATTCACTGAAGCCCTATTCTGCAATGCAGCAATGCACTGTGGGATTGCAGCTGGTGTAGGAGCATCAGAACTCACCAGTAGCACAGGAGGAAGCAAGCAATGACCCAAGAGCCAGATGAAGGGAAAGCGAGGGAAAATGAAGAAAACATGATAAAGAGAGGGAATTTAAAACATTGGAAGGAGAAATGGAAGAAGAACACAATCAGGAAGAAAAGAGAAAGAAACAGATCAGATGAGCACAAAACAGTGAGAGTGAATGAGAGAAAAGAGCAGAATTAAGCAGCAAGGCATTGGGAAGAAGACTTTCTCAGTCCGTGTAGAGCAGAGATGAATGTAACCCCATGCATGAGAGAAACGGATGGAAATAAAACCGATCTAATCTCAACACGTCAAAATCACCACAGCACAACTGAGATGTAACGTGTCTAGACTCAATATGCCACAACGGCACACGCACACATCACTAAACATCACATTAAACACGTCTCTGCTTTGTTAAAATGGCATATACCCAGAAGAAATGTTTATAAAAAATGATTCATTTGAGTTCTGTTATGTTCCATTTGAATAAATGTGAGTATCATAAATATACTGGAGACTTTAGTATCTTGGTGAATCTGAGCAGAGATTGATATCTCTTCTGAAACTCTACAAGAGAACAAAAACTGGATAAGAAGGAGATTAAGTCACAATAAAATGGAAGTAGTGACAGATCTGTTCTTCCAAAATGTGATGTACATCGTGGTGCAGTCGATTATCTGAAAAAAGTAGGGCAGGGACTTGTTTCTATTCATCGGTTGTTGATTGGATGTTAAGATGCGGGTGTAGCAAATGAATATGATCTTGCAGGGGTGGAGCTTAAGCAGACTATATGATTGGACATCACCAGAGAAAAGTTGAAAAGTCGTTTTCACTGAATGTCCAGTTAGGACATTTTGATTAAACATTACAAGTTCTAAAAATTTTTTGAACAAACTTCACAATAATATCTATAATAGAATTTCTGTTACTTGCTGACTTTAAGCACAAGTCTCCATTTGTTCTCCATCTAATCTCACAGCTTTCAAAGAGAAACTACTGAGATCTCATTTGTGATTTGTGGTTTTTTTCTAAGGGTACGCAAATGTGCTATATTTTCCATGCTATAGACTATGATGTTGTATTGTATCCATGACTGTTTTGAACACCAGACAAAAATTTGGCTGCACACTTTCAGAAAAAAAGGTTCCAAACTTTTTAAAAGGTACTAATATGTACCTTTAAGGTACCCAATTAGGGGTAAGTAAGGTACAAAGATGTACCTTAGGGTACCTAGTATCTACCCTGTGTACCTTTTGTTCTGAAAGTGCAATGAAAATGACACAAAGAAAAAGATAAGATGTCACGAGGGCTTTGGGTGACGTACCCGACATCAGATCTCCTCCTGCAGCTGCTGCGGCTGGTTTGGCCTCTCCAGCGCCCGCAGATTCTGATCCATCCACGCAGCATGAGGGTAAAAAAGGTTAGAGTGAGCCAAAGCCATTACGCTGAGAAACAACCCCAGAGCGAGAGACGGAGAGAGAATGTTATCACACATAAATAAAAGTCAGAAATAGAAACAAACTCACACAAAAGCGCACACATAAACCTCATTAAAGCCTTTTGAACTGTCAGCTCAGGAAATCTCATCAATCATCAGAACAGCTTTAACAGAATCCACAGCAACCATCTGAGCAAGACATGCAAATCAAACCCCCAGGATGCAAACTGGGTAGTTACCAACCCCCAAACAGGTCCAGATCTGCCCCGCTGTCTGGCCAGCTCATAGGGGCCGACAGAGCAGCAGCAGGAGGACAAAACACATCTAAAGCACAGGAAAGGGTTTAGTTGATACCCTAAAGTCCTGCTTGTTTAACATCCATTATTTGAAGAGTAACTTTATGCAACTATGTTAACCAGGACCCGTAATTGCATTAGTTTTAGGTCAGAACATAGATGAAGATAGGTTCATGAGATAAAGCCCAAGGGTAGAAGCGAAAATAGAAAGGTTTCTAAGTGTGGATAATGTAACTAATGGGTCTTGGGAATGTTTCAAGAGAAACATAGCTGGAGAGATTAGGAATGATTAAGAAGTGAATGAAGGCCTAAGAGACTGAGAGAAATCAGTTTGTTGGACAGACAGTTCCTTCGGCTGCCCCAGGAGAGAAGCATATTTGGCTCACCTTGAGCTGTCAAGGACAGAATACAGAAAAAACAGTATAAGCGAGGCAGGGGATGAGTTAATGGATTTACTGTAGCGTGTACCTGCTGAAAACTGGTCTAGACTGGGGTTTGGGTCTGTTTTGGGAACAGATGAATCTGGCATGGGATCAAAAAAAACTAAAAACAAGACATTTATAAACAAACATAAATAATATTAATACATAACAAAAACCAAATCAAACCACTCAAAACAAAAAAAAAACTACACCTAATTTATTTTTAAGATACAATATTGTGAAGCAGTCAGTCAAGTTTACATTATTTAATAAACTGATTTCCACTTTAATAAAAAAAGTAGCAAACACGATTAATATAATCATTTTTAAGAAACCACAGCATGTGACATGACAGGGTTGCTTAGCTCCTTTGGCCAGAGAAGTAATATAAGTATTTCTTTACCTTTTGAACACATGCTTGTTTTGAAATAAAGGAAGATGAACTTGAAAGGACTGTTGAGCCCATAATAAGTGGAAGAAGTCATGAACCCGTGGGTTTGGGGTGAAGAGCAGGTCAGAAACAACACGTGTTTACTTGGATACTCGTCAAGACAGTCATTCTGACATAATTTAGTGTGCATTTGCTCATGAAGATGCGAAAGAGAACTCAATTTGGTACTCGCATGCTGTCCGAGCTGTGGCTTTTTGCGTGCATTTGTGCACACATAAATGATCTAAAACAGCGTGCGAGTACTGCATTGAAATCTCTTTCGCGTTGTCTTGCACTTAAATGGCTTAAAACACTTTCATGTTTAAACTGATTAGATATAGCATCCTGTTAACAGCAGGTGTATTCGCAGGTGAACATGAAATATGTTACATACCACTACTGCTGAACGAGCCAATGTAATGCAAATATGTCTGAAAGGTCTGACATAACAATAAGATGCGACATGAACAATATTGTATGAAGTGTTGTTTGTTTACATCACGCTGTGCCTCGCATTATGAAAACAATGTTTGGCATACCACGATCAAAACTTAGTGATGTAGACAGTTTGATGTTATATATATTCCTCCAAATTATGGTGAAAACCAAAAACATTTGTGTGTTAAAATAACATTTGTGTGTTCAAAAAATGTAAGAAATGCTTATATTACTTTACTGGTCAAGGTAGCAAACCAACCCCGTTATGTCACACGCTGTGGTACTGCAAGATGTACCAGTACCACAAGATGTACCAGTACCTTGCTCCAAAATCTATAACAAAACATGCTTTTAGTGTAATGCAAATATGTCTGAAAGGTCTGACATAACAATAAGATGCGACATGAACAATATTGTATAAAGTGTTGTTTGTTTACATCACGCTGTGCCTCGCATTATGAAAACAATGTTTGGCATACCACGATCAAAACTTAATGATGTAGACAGTTTGATGTTATATATATTCCTCCAAATTATGGTGAAAACCAAAAACATTTGTGTGTTAAAATAACATTTGTGTGTTCAAAAAATGTAAGAAATGCTTATATTACTTTACTGGTCAAGGTAGCAAACCAACCCCGTTATGTCACACGCTGTGGTACTGCAAGATGTACCAGTACCACAAGATGTACCAGTACCTTGCTCCAAAATCTATAACAAAACATGCTTTTTTCGTTAAAATGGTTACATTAATCTTCAATTTTTTAATTGAAGTGCAAATCAGTACAATAAAAAGCTAAATTTGTATTCAAACTGTTGCCTTTAAAGGGATGGTCCACCCAAAAATGAAAACTCTGCCATCATTTACTCACCCTCATGTCGTTCCAAACCTGTATGCATTTCTGACTCCTGCAGAACACAAAAGAAGACATTTTGAAGAATGTTGGTAACCAAACCGGTTCCCATTGATTTCCATTTTTGTGCATACTATGGAATTCAGTGGGAACCAAAATTTTGGTTACCAACATCTTCATCTTCTACCAATATCTTCTTTTACATTCCATAAAAAAGAAAGTTATACATGTTTGGAACATGAGGAGGGGGTTTAAATCATGATAGGATTGTCATTTTTGGGTGGACTTTCCCTTTAAAAGCAGTCGCTGAAAAACATAATAGGAAAGGAAATCCAGATTTTAAGAAGTGGGTTTTGCTAAATCTCTGGCCTAAGGGGGTTTACCAGCAAACAGGTCTATCGTTGGGGCTGGGGAAGCAGTGGGGGCTACAGTGCTGGTGGTGGTGGAGACAGATGCCTGGACAGTAGTGGGTGCCACTGAGCTAAAGAGAGAGTTACTGTCATCTACTGGCTGCATGGAGAACAGGTCCAACCGAAGGGAGTGATCAGCTGTACCAGCCGCTGGAGTGAAGGGATCTACAGGGAGGAGAGGATGAACATTTAAAAACATCTTCCAGGCTCTGAAAGACTGAATTTATTATATAAAATCACCCTGAGGATGAAACTTCAGAGAAGGAAGAATGAGAAAGAAAGTGGAAGTTGGAGACGGTTTTGTTAGATACACGAGTGTTGCGCTCGACATCTGCTTGTGCTCCGTGGAGAACAGAACTCCAATGTTCAAAGACTATCGCCCTAGCAACATAGATAGCAATCTCCATGGCAACACCGATGCCAATACAGAAAACTCAACATTGACCAGAGGAGGCTTCATTAGGAGTGGAGTCAGCAGAAGAGACTCTGTGAGGTTCTTCAAACCGGTAAATGAAACACTCACAAGCAAACACACACTCTCTCACCCGTTATGTGCCGACATTCTCATATTCACACATATGCATGTGAACTGTTGTCACCCACCGGTTGGTGCAGTGCTGTCAGCAGCAGGGGTGGGCGTGGTTGCTGCGGCCCCACCCTCAGCAGCAGCAGCTGTTTCAGCCGCAGGGGCCGCAAACACATCTGGAGTAGCGCACACGAGGGCCAAATGGTTGACGTATAATAGCCAAAAAAAGGAGGAAGAGGAAATAGAGAGTAAATAGCAAAGAGAAGGAGAAAGAAACAACAGATTCAGTGACATGCAGAGTTCGAATTAAAGGAGGTTTTGCATTTAAAATATTTTAAACTATAGCTGCATCCCAATTCAGGGGCTGCATCCTTCAAAGGCTGCATTCCAAGACCGAACACATCATAACACTGTGACAAAGGCTGTCCCATTTTACAGTCTCCTTAAAATGCGGCCTTGAAATGCAGCCTTCCGTTTCCTGGTACATGAAGGATACAACAAATGGATCCTTCGCAGCTCAGACTATCCCAAGATTCATTGTGTGCTGGGGATGACAGGATTATTTATAGAGAACTACACTTAAGTATTGAGTTTCAACTTACTCGATTATCTAATGTCACAAATGTTAAAAACACTGGTTGAAATTTTGACCTTACTAAGCTGTGATTTTATAGGTAGTTAATACTTTTAATTATGTACGTAAATGGATCAAGGTGAACATATTTTATTGCACACTTTTAATTAATAAGTTGAGTAAATACAGCTGGATAAAACAAAAAATTGCATCCGTCTTCATTTCATGCTACAAAGCAACAAAATGTGATTTTTTTAAAGGGGGGGGGGTATTTTATATACCCACTCTATATATATACATATATGAAAATTATCCATTTTACTTTCATAATGTGACATATTTCCAGGATATTCAACCATAAGAAAGCAGAATAAGACTTGATCTTACCAGTTTAAATTTGCATTAAATAATTATTAAATTGGTAAGATTCTAGAAATCTGCATTACCCACAATAGTAGCCTAAAATATTCACAAAATATCCGTTTATTGACTTTTAACTGATAGCCCATGCTGATGGAAACCAAAAATGAGAGTCGTTTCAGAGGTGCTTTTTTCTTTTTATCTGGAACTTGCTCTAGGAAAATGTATTAGAAAATAAAATGGGTCAGTTTTGATATCAATTTTATTTTAAACCTATTTGCAGTTGCTGAATTTAAGTATAATAGATCAAGTATAATTGATTTGTATTATTCATTTTGTTTATAATTTTTTTCTTTTTCCTTTCTACTTTATATATTTTGAGTATGTATGTGTATTAAGCACTAAACTGAAACTGAACTGTAAATAAAACCTGATTAACCTTACTGTGCGTTCTGCAAATTAACACATTAGAATAATCAAATGATTATAATTAATTTATGTAATTTTAATACACAGTCATCTTGTGATGCATTGATGGCAAATGAATGTCAAAAGAAAACTGCAAAAGTGTAGCATGGAAAATATAACATTTGAAAGGAAATAAGAAGCTCTAGATTTCTACTGCGGACACAAATGGTGGAGCAAAGGTGACTACAGACTTTACGAATGAAGCACAAACTGTGATTTCTATCTAATCTTTTATTTTCTTTCTCCGTTTCAGAATGTGGCACAGCCTTTTCCCCCAGAAAACTCTTCTTGAAGGAAGAAACCTCACTACTGACCTCCGAAGAGATCCGCTGAGCCGGAGGAAGCACCGGCAGCGGAAGGAGGAGGAGCCAAAGAAACAGCTGCCTCAGCGGCTGTGGTGGTGGGCGTGGCTGAGGAGTTGGAGTCTATGGCAGGGGTTGGGTCAGGAAGGAGAGTCTCTGTAGTAAGGGAGCCTATTTCTGCATAGCCACGCCCACAACAGACCAATATAAACACAACGTAAACAGATAACCAGGAAAGGAACCAAAGAAGATGGTAAGAGCAAAAGAGAGAGAGAGAGAGAGAGAGAGAGAGAGAGAGAGAGAGAGAAAGAGAGGGAGAGATTCTACTGAGCAAAGACTGAGGGATTGACACAGAGATGTTAAGTGGGCTTTAGGAGACTAGCTTTGTTTTGTCATACTTAGGACTGTCATACTCTAATTTCTGTTTGCTAGATGAACTACAACAAATGCTTAATAAAGTGAATGAGACATTTAACACATCAAATTGCATAAAAACACTTATTTAACATAAAATCAAAGGCCAATAACGTTTACCTGAGCCCAGCAGATCTGATGTGATAGCAGCCCATGACAGCCAGACAGAAAAAGATATTTCAAATTAGGTCAAGCATTCATTAAGAGTAGGAATGTAAGGAGGAATGCAATACAGATACTTAAAGTTCCTCTACCCAGGTCAGTTTTTCACATTATTTTTGGTTTGTGGCAAGTTTGGTTTTGTAGTGAATCAATATAAAGTTAAAAGTGCACGTTGTATTGCAAATTTATCATAATTTTTAATCAAATGTCATGCAAACTCTTCTTTGTAGCTGATGTAATTGAGACTACTTTCATGATTTAATCAGTCAACTTGATGGATAAATCAAGTTTTTATTAATATTTTAAATTAATTTTTATTTTACTTTTTAATTAAAAATTTTGTGCGTTTTTGTCATTTTATTAGTGTTTGTTTGTTAAAATATTTTTAATATATTTTTATTTCAGTTTTGGTTTTATTTCATTTTAGTTTTCAGTTAGTAATTTTAATATTTCAAGGCAATATGATTAATTTCCATTCAGTTTAAGTTTTATGTTGAATATTTATATTTAATTTCTGCTTTATTTCAGTTAACAAAAATGTTTTTTTTGAATAGTTCTATCTTTAGTTAACAATAACATCACTGGTTTGAGCTGCAAAGTGTGTATGTGTGTGGATTGTACCTCCCCAAGATGTGGGAGCAGCTGATGCTCCTCCTGTAGAAGGTCCAGAGGAAGACAACGGGTCCAGATCCAGCAGAGAACTACATTGTGACAGACAAACACTTTTATAAACATATGAAAGCTGTACGGTTAGATATTATCTGTTGTTCTGATTAGCATTTTATCAGATGGGAAGTGAAGTGTGGTTACTTGGCTCACTCACTCAGTAGCAGTTTCGGCGACAGGCGCGGCCTCAGTGCGTGGGGGCTCCAAAGTGGGGACGGCAGCGGCTGATTTGGCAGGAGTAGAGGTTGGAGACACATTATTGGTAGGTGATTCCTGAAACATAACCCAGAACAACAGATTGAGCAAATGTGTGTAATATCTAAAAAAAAAAAAACTTAAATGTGCCTGCTTACCTTTGTGGGTGACCTGAAGGACACAAGCAGAGACAATGAAATAGAAGTGAACAAATGATTTTATATACAAACAATATGACTGATGAAAATGTCTGAGATTACTTAAAACATACTCACCCTTCCCTGAACAAACCATTGCAGGAGGAGGAAAAGAACATAAATTAGGATTAATATTTATAGGCTTTATGTGTCTTATTCAAAGGGATTTAAAGTATAATAACTGCAGAGACAAGCCATGGTTATTTGCCTTTCTCAGGTTTCTCTATCACATCTAGCATGCAACATTTGATTTACAAGAACAGAGGTACTTCCCCTCTGACATTTGAAGTGATTTAGATTGATTTCAGGGATCCTGTACCCTTTCTTGCCCTCTAGACTGTTCATATGTGCCTCCAGAGATTCCAGAATACTGCTGGGAGCCTGAAAACAGCAGAATAAAACACACACACATACAAATATGAGAAAAGGAAAGCGGTGTAAAGACAGTAGAAAAATCATCAGAGCATATTTAATTTCAGTATCTCCACAGCAAATTCAAACAAATAAAGACCACATCAAAACCCAGTGAAAATCTTTACCCAAAGCACTCCTCACAGCACCGCAAAATCAGCTCAAAGCACAAACTGTGGGACAGAATTGGACTTCAGTGCATTGCTTTTCTCAGTTTCTAAACAAAAAGCTAATTATGATGCAACCTATCAGTCTTAGAGAGAAATTCAAGTAAAAAAAGTCACTTGCATAGCGTCACTTTATACAATAAAGATTGTTCAAAGCACCTTCACATTATTAAACAAGAAAATAGCAGTGTTAATGTTCCAACATTCTTTGATTTCAGCTGTAAAGCAGCTCTAAAAAGACAATCGTGTCATCAATCAGCTCAATTTCGTTCAGTGTTGATTCTGTTCCGTAATAGTGTAGTAAATGTTGTAGAAGTCATGAAATAACTTCAGTTTCAGCTATAAACCCTTCAGCTCTATAGTAAACAATAATGTAATTTTTTTCAACTTAATTCTGTTCAGTGTTGATTCAATTAAGTTCAGTAACAGTGTGAATGCTGCAAAGTTCATCATTTATGAAACAACTTCAAAAGCAGCTCTACAGAAGACAATATTGTCATTATGCAGCTTAATTCGGTTAAAATTTTTGTATCCTCATCCACTAGTGTCAGTACAGTCAGATTCATAATATGTTCTGAACATTAATTGTTATTTAATGACACTTTTTAGGAAAGGAAATTAGTTCTTCTTATTGCTGTAAAACATCCAGTAACAGCATGTTAAAAACTAGTGTTTTGTGACTAGCCCAGGTAGGAAGGGCTTCTATACAAGCAGGTAAAAGCAATGCACTGAGATGCATTCTGCGTCCCGTATCAGTCGTCATGGTTACCGGCTCTTCGTTGCAGCAGTCTTTAAAGGGACAGTCTTCATTGTCTGAATCTGCCAGGTCTGCAACTACGCGGGGGTGCAAACACTGGGAATCCCCACAGGAAGTTGTTTTGATAATGACTCTCAGTTAGGATGGATGAAAAGCTTTTTGACACTCACACCAGCTTTACTTAATTATTTTAAAAGATTGGTATACTCTTCCCATGCTATAAAGTTTTAAAAGCCATTGACATCAAGAAATCAATACTTAACCTGATTCTAATATTAAATAAGAGCTAGTGACACACCAACAAATGGCACATATGAAAGGACAGATGTTTATTTTCAAGATGTGCCGTGGCTGACTTACATAGGAGATGTCGGGAATGTCATTCTTATCCACTCCTATTTGCTGCAACAGAAACACAGTAATAATGTAGTGAATTGATATTCTATCCAAATATTTGACTTGAAAAAAATTCTGCTTCTGGCCTTACCTCAGCGATTTTCATGAACTCTGCGATTTTGGTCACCCGGGTCAGAAATTTCTTATACATTTCCAGAGAATCCTTGCACTCAGACTTCTTCATTTTGAAGTATTTCTCTGTATAATTAAAAGCAGAACCATTAGTTTCAAGATAAAAGATTATTGAATGATCTAATGATGTTCAGAGATTGAGATCATAAAATTATTATCACATACCTAATAAATTGATGATGCCGTCATTGTAGGAGGCGAAGAGCTTTATCAGATCCTTAAAGAGAAGCAGGAATGCTGCATTTATGATGCTATTGTTCAAGTCTTTAGGATGAACCTGAAAAGGACAGAGAACAAGACAAAAGGGAGTATTTAAAACAGTAATGTGGATAATAAAATAGAGTTTGACCTTCTGTTCCTGGCCAAATAATAATAAAGTACATTGAAATAAATACAATCAAGTCAACAAACCGGTGAAAGAACAAAATCATCAAGCTCATTCTCAGTTAATGGGCCATTTTCACAGAAGGTTCCAGATGTTGTGGGAGATGCTACTCACATCAAACTCCAGCAGTGTGTCCACTTGAGTCTGAAGGGCAGGCATGGCCTTCAAAAGCTTGTCAGGAGCCATAGTCCTCATCACACCATCAGCTCTGAGTGCACACGCACACACACACACACACACACTATATAAGACTGAGTGCTAAAAGTTTTTGAATCCTGAGAAACCATCCTTGCATTCTCTCTAACTTAAGAGATGACGTTCTCTTTGTGTTTTGTAAGTGTAACAGCTCTGACATAATATTTAATAACTTGGAGTAACAAGTGTCTAAATGTTGCCAATGTGTCCTTCTATTCCCAGAATCCATCGACATACCCCTTCTTAACTCGAATGAAGTCGAAGGCCATCGCACGGTAAGCATATGCCTTCTCATTCAAGTACCGTGCATATCGTCTGATGAATGTAGACATGTCATAGCCTTCGAGACAGAAAAGGAAAAACAGGAATAAACATTTTTAGTTGACCTTAGTAAAACAGAGATCAAATTTAAAGCCATTTACTGTATCGACTGCTTAAAAAATATTAATTATTAAAGGAATAGTTCACCCAAAAATGTACATTTGCTTATTTTTTTTTACTCACCCTCAGGCCATCCAAGATGTTGATGAGTTTGTTTCTTCATTGTAACAGATTTGGAGAAATTTAGCAATACATCACTTGCTCATCAATGGATCGTCTGCAGTGAATGGGTGCCGTCAGAATGAGAGTCCACACCACTTTTCCCTTCACAAGATGTTAACTGATGGACTGGAGTGGTGTGGATTACTTGTGGATTATTGTAATGTTTTTATCAGCTGTTTGGACTCTCATTCTGACGGCACCCATTCACTGCAGAGGATCCATTGATGAGCAAGTGATGGAATGCTACATTTCTCCAAACCTTTTCCCACGAAGAAACAAACTCATCGACATCTTGGATGGCCTGAGGGTGACTAAATACATTTTCAGCAAATTTTCATTTTTGGGTGAACTATTTTAAATAAAATTGAATTGAAGTTTATGTGTCTTTATCCATTTAACTCACACACAGATGTACAGAATCTCACCATGGGAGCCTGTTTTGTCAATAAAGTTGCTGAGATTGAACAGGGAAGTCCTTGAGGCCAAATACTGGATGAATCTCTGCAGCGATTTAAAAACGGACACAGTATTTTAGTATTCAGTATCTGTGAGTTTTAAACTTCACAGTTTGACTAAAAGGAGAAGATTAAACAGTAATGAAGTGCCTCACCTCATTGCCGTAGATGCATATGTGGTGGGTCGTGGTCAGAGCTTTGAACACGACCACCCAGCTGGCATTAGTGGATCTTTCAAATAGTGTGTCAGCCATCTGAGGGATGTTCACGTTTGTCTCATTGGTGGTTGAGATCAGATCTGCACACAAAAAAACACACACTTACCACTACAGCGTTATGTACTACAATGTGAATGAAGATTTTCAGAGCTTTATGATTACTGAACCACCAGACAGATTCTCAAGGGGAAAATTAATATCCACAATTGCATTAAGGAAGCCAGAAACAACCCCACAGAGATAAACAACAATATGACTGTGCATTTTTCTTGCACTTTACAACATACTGCATGCAGTGGAGTGCATGAGGAAAAAAAATGACAGAAATGTTCTAGTCAGAGAGATTGAGGTCATTCAATATTTTCTTTTTGAACAAAATCAAAGGAAATCAAATGTATGTCATGAAAATCTGGTTTGCCAGATTAAGTAGAAATCTAACGTTTAGAAACATACTGTATATGGAGTGTGAAGGTAATCTAAATTAAGTCCTTTCAAATCAACTACACACAAAATAAAACTGTAAAATTAACTTCTTTCCGACACAATATCAGTTTCCGGTCAAATGGGACCAAAGTAACAGAACCGAAAATGCATATGTGGTGGGTCGTGGTCAGAGCTTTGAACACGACCACCCAGCTGGCATTAGTGGATCTTTCAAATAGTGTGTCAGCCATCTGAGGGATGTTCACGTTTGTCTCATTGGTGGTTGAGATCAGATCTGCACACAAAAAAACACACACTTACCACTACAGCGTTATGTACTACAATGTGAATGAAGATTTTCAGAGCTTTATGATTACTGAACCACCAGACAGATTCTCAAGGGGAAAATTAATATCCACAATTGCATTAAGGAAGCCAGAAACAGCCCCACAGAGATAAACAACAATATGACTGTGCATTTTTCTTGCACTTTACAACATACTGCATGCAGTGGAGTGCATGAGGAAAAAAATGACAGAAATGTTCTAGTCAGAGAGATTGAGGTCATTCAATATTTTCTTTTTGAACAAAATCAAAGGAAATCAAATGTATGTCATGAAAATCTGGTTTGCCAGATTAAGTAGAAATCTAACGTTTAGAAACATACTGTATATGGAGTGTGAAGGTAATCTAAATTAAGTCCTTTCAAATCAACTACACACAAAATAAAACTGTAAAATTAACTTCTTTCCGACACAATATCAGTTTCCGGTCAAATGGGACCAAAGTAACAGAACCGAAAAATGGGTAAACACATGAAAACATGTTCAAGCTACATTTTACTCTAAATATATATATATATATATATATATATATTTTTTTTTTTTTTTTTTTTTTTTTTGAGCATAAAGAAATTAAGCCTGTTGTTTTGACAATTGCGATTTCATTGTCCCTAAATACTCAGTACTTTATTCCCATTATTCTCAATAATGATTATCATTAGATTCTCAATAGGATTTTTTAAAACTGAAATCAGCATGAATTAAAGAAATTTCTAATTTAAATAGTACATCATTATTATTTGCATTGGGAAATTTGGTGGAAAATGTGGTCGTAAAACAGGGTTCATTTTCTGTAAGCAAAATATAAATATTTTTTCTTTGGTTTGATTTGGAGTGCAGGTTGACCCTGAAATCTTCTTGATAGGCTTCTCAACAGAGCTTGTCTTAAATAAAACATATAACATTGTGCTCAGGGTGCCAATATGTTGGTCATGGCTGCTAGAGAACACATGGCAGTGGAGTTAAGAAGCCAAGAATAGTTCAGATTAAAACACACACTGAGATACAGTGTATTAACACTAGTGCAATATGTAGCTATGTGACATCATAATATTTTGAAGTATATGCCACAGCAGTCCCTGTACATATGTAGGTTATGAATATGTGAGCAGGTGCAGCTCATTGGGATTATGGAATTGCTCAAGATGCTGTGCTTCATGTGACCGGATTACAGGCAGTGTAAATACAGACACATCGCAAACACACACACACACATGCACAGTCATCTGCTAGGCCACATTAGTGTGAGCACATGACTAAACGGCTTCTTGGGTCTCATTTCTACTGTATATGATGCAACATCATAAATATCTGTCCTGCCAAATATAATATAGAAAATGTATCTAACAAGACAGTATCCTACTCATATTTAAGTAAACTCCTATGCAGCAGCACTACAAGATTTCGATGAATTTGTTTCTTCATCTGAACAGATTCCGAAGAAAGCAATGTTATGGACAATGGACTCGTATTTTAGCCTTAATGATGGATTTATTTCTTACAAACATGCAGCTTTTCACTTCACAAGATGTTAATCGATGGACTGGAGTGGCGTGGATTTCTTGTGGATTATTGTGATGTTTTTATCAGCTGTTTGGACTCTCAAAGGATCCACTGGTGAGCAAGTGATACAATGCTAAATTTCCCCAAATCTGTTCTGATGAAGAAACAAACCCATCCATATCTTGTGTGAGTACATTTTCAGCAGATTTTCATTTTTGGGTAAACTATTCCTGTAACTTCAGTCTTTTTATTCAAAGCAAATGCAGCCTGTCTTAGAATGAAGACCCTCTTGTGCAAACTGATAGCATGTCATCATGATGTCACTCACTCCTCCCCCTTCCCCAATAATCTACTTCAGTTTCCATGACAACCTCGCCAACACCCCTCACGCCTTCCAATTCAACAGACAAATGCCTGGAGTAATAAGACAGCAACTCATCAAACACATTTCTTGTCATAAACATCTGACTCTGCTAAAGTAAAATGAGTTTCTGTGCAATGAACGCTGCACTTTTTCACAAGTGCTAAACTGTGCCAAGACAAAGCGAATCTATGGATTTCAGAAGAGCTTAAAGTGGGCTGTGATATCAGGAAACATCTTAAGCATCTATAATTCCCTGATGAATGGATTGCTGATATTCACTCACACGTGGCTTTTGATTCCTCGCCTTGCATACCAGTGTGCTCACCTTTGGCTTTGTAAATAATACATGCATGCTTTGGCTGATCGATTTATAATTCAGAAGGCCTTCTCCTGCAGGACACAGAGCTCGAGGCCGACATGAAGATGCTTTGTTGCCTTTATGTCTTGTCTAAATGCAGTCGGTTTCCTTCTGTCATCTCAGTTTGAGACAAGCCACCCACATAAAGACACTTCAGGGTTTGTTCTGTGCTGTCAGTTTGCCTTCAGTCAGCTTCACACACACTGACACACTAAGCTCCTTATATCAAATGCACCTTAAAAAGGGCAGGTTTTACATTTACAGAATTGCATCTGGTAGCAAACAACCTTACTGAGTGCAAACCATGCATAATGCAGAGGCCTGTGCAAAATGCACGGTAAACACAGCTTCATTATTGTACGCATTGGACTGTGGTGCTGAACTGGACAGCGCCAGGTCTTAGGAACGAGGGTGCGTGCAAAATGTCTCACTTACACTCCAGGTGCTTCTTCTTGGGCGCCATCACCTCGTGCGTGGTGGCTTTGCAAACGGCACGAGCCACATCGGATCCGGTGAGCTGGTACTGCGCCGCGGCGATGCGATCCGTCAGTGTCTGTCCCGACATTTTCTCCCGGTAGCGTTGACAACCACCTCGAGAATCAACTTCAGGGGGAAGGACAGCCGAAATGCATATGATATTCGCCGACAAAAAAAGAAACGGAATCCAAAGTGGCTCTCGAGAAACTGACAATGTCAATACCTCGTTTCGGTTTCCAACCAGAGCGGCTGAAATTGCGTATTTAAAAGCACACAATATATATATATACTTTCAATTGAATGCTTAAAAAAATTCCCTCGTAGGCGCCTAGCATGGGTTGGTTTCAGCACCCTGGATAATGCCTCTATTACGTAACGCCCTATGACGAGATATTTTCTGGCTCTAGTGGGAAATAAATAATCAAATTAATACGTTAAACCTTCACCTTTGATTATCATATGTATGAAAAACCCCATCTAACCGAAAAGACAGAGAGTTTTGCGTTGAATTGGTTATTTTAGTGACGAAGTTAATTAAATAAACGAATAAAAACGAGTTGCAAACGCTCGGTTGATTAACCCTTCACTATAAACCTGCTCGGGATTCCGGAGCCTCGTTAATATTCGGTCGCAGCCCGTGTGTCCTTCCCGTCCGGTCGGATGATGATGATGATGTGTCTCGTTCAAGCCTTTTCAAGGGCAGGAGTTTACTTTGAAGACAAGTATATTTTCACGTTTCACTGCTATATTGTGCAGATCCTGGATATTGTACTTGCTTATTTTTCTGGTAATGCGGGTTACGGTCCTGCCTCGTCGGTGGTCGGTAGACCTGGTCAGGTGACGCATAACTGGCTCTTAAAGGGAAGCACGCTGTCAAACGCCTTTAAGGGCCTCTCATCTCATCTGTCTGCATTCTGCTCCCCCGAGCACAGAGCTAGATTCTCTGTCACGAGCTTTCAGTGATATTGGTTGAATAGACGGCAGTTAAATGATCGTGTCATGTATAGATGTTCTTCAAGTTTGTTTGAGAATTCTGTTACATTTTTGGACTTTTAATGCTTTTTTATGTGCTCTGTGAATAGGCTTCGTATAAGCTATATTTATCTTTTCGATTGTGGATCCTGGATATGCAATAGCTGATCCTCTGCATGTAAAACTACTCTAGTCTACACCTCTAGACACTGAATATGAAAACAGCAGCTTCATCATTCGAACACTAGGTGGAGGCAATTCAGCACTATTGATATTTTTCTGCTCATAGAAGAAGTTTTTTTTTTTTTCAGCTTCTGCAAGAAACAGTTTAACCCTCATAAAGTTTATCTAGTATACCTATTTACCAGTGAGACAATGTTTGTAAATTCTACCAGTGAATGCACTAATCTTTAACTTCTTTCTGTGTCCAGATATTTTTCTTACACTGTCTTTCATGGGTCTGCATCATGTGTCAGACGGCCTAGAGGAAAGACATCATGGATTGTGGAAAAGTGGAGTGAATGCAGGTGGCAGAGATGGTCCCTGTGACTTATAAACGGAGTCTTCAGGAACAAGTGACATGTCACACATTGTCAAATGCAGAACTGTGTGACTTTAGTAATACATATTTTTGATGATGTGAAATTTTCTCAGTTAAGTAAAGCCTTACATCAAAAGCCAAATTTTACCGGTACAACACAAGTTTTACAGCATTTAATATAAATTCACATTTCACATCAAATAAAATGTTAAGGTCTTCTTCTGGATTATGATATAAAACTTTTTTTTTGCTGTCACCAGCACTTATGACAGTGTCTGCATGTTGTTCAAAAGAATTTCAGATCATATATTTGTATGAGAATTGTGTGATACCAGATGTATTTTTATTTTGCATTCTTTTTCTGTCAGATAAAAACATGCACATCATCTTGTTACACTTTATACAGTGAAGTTGTAGTCATGACCCATCTTGACAAATATGTTTACTATTTTTGTCATTTCAGTACTGGAAAGTGGCATTCACTTTTCATCTGATCGACCTGTTTCCTCACTTTCTGCTGATGCAGTTGCATCAGAGGGTCGACTGGGGTCATGTGTCTCTCCTGTCCTTCAGTTCCTGAAATATTCTACTATAATGCTTGATTGTTTGCTTCAGCTCCCGCAAGTCTCTTTGTACTCCCTCTAGGATGTCAAGCTTTGACAGTTTCCTGTCAATTGAGGCCAGATGTCCCAGATCGTTCTCAGTGATGCCTGAACCTTCAGAGTTGACTGGAGTCATGCTGCTGCATTTAGGCTCATTCATAGCCTGCTGCCACACCATCTCGAAATAAGAATCTATAAATGCCTCCAGCTCCTCAATGTCACTGTCACCCCATTGGTCAATTAGGTTCTGCAGGTTCTCTGATTGGACAAAATCCATAAAGGCTCTTTCTTTTGCAGTTTGAGCTGTGTAAGGTGTATTCCTGTGGTAATATGGAAGGGATGGCCCACAGAATCTTTCCCCCTGTGATTTGTTCCTGAATAATCGTTGCGCATTCATTGGCTGCTCAGTTGTTGAAACATGGATTACAGCAAGAGAACCTGCTTCAGGCCCATCTGTCCTACTCACAGCAATCCATGGTTCATTTGGGTGAAACCATTCGGAGTTGTTGAGCACCACTACTAGTCTTTGATGAAAGTTTCTGGGTAATAAGGTCCTATTTAATAAACGGATACTTCTGCAGGCCAGTGCTTGATTTTCATTTAGAGAAAGGCTGGAGTCTGTGGTGGTGATTTTTGGATCACTGGATGTAGATGGGAGCAAATGTTCAGAGATCTCAATCATTTGACGCTCTCCTCGAATCTCAGTAACACCTGCTACAAAAACAGTAACAAACTTTGAACATCCAGTACCAATACCAACATCAAATATCAGAATCAAGCAAAAATACAAAATTTCGGACCTAATCAAGCAGTGTTGGGGGTAACACATTACAAGTAATGCGAGCTACGTAATCAGATTACTTTTTTTCAAGTAACTAGTAAAGTAAAGTATTACTTTTTAATTGACAAGAAAATATTTGAGAGACTTTTTCTAATGCCAGTTGCTTTTGTTTTCCCATTTATTTACTGACAGCTCTCCTGTCCCCATGTTGAGAGAAATATCATATTCTTCATGCAATCCAGAATGGCAGTACGTTTGAAAGCTGAAGGTCTGAAAGTTGCTGCCATCTACTGTACAGACGTGAATTTACATTTCCTTCATCCTGAGCCTTATTCGTTTCACTTTTGGTGTGAAAGGGCTTTTACATTTGCCAAAACTCACCATGATGAAAAATTGTAGAACTTCTAAGAGGAGTCATTTTCACTTTCCCGATCTGTACCTTTCCACCAAACCTCAATTCGCCAGGTATCAAAGATCGTTGAATATTCCCTTGATTTTCAGTGTTATTTAGCATCTGTTCTAACACCAACTCCTCTATCTTCTGCATCAGTTCTGCGACCTGAGTGCCATTGTCTTATGTACTGCTCCACACTAATGTCACAGAGCCAGTCTCCATGTGTGAACAACACAACGGTGGTGCTCCATGCTTTCCCTCCCAGAACACGCAGATGGTCCTCAGCTGCTTTCAGGTTCCTTAGTGTAAAAGAGGAACTGGCATTGACAACTAGCAGGAGAATGCAGATCCCACTGGCTGAACCAGAAACCCAGTCATTGAGAAGTTGGCTTCTGAACTCTGCGATGTTTGGACACTCAGTTGTCCAGCCTGGTGTCTCCATGACCTCAACTTTTGTCTCATTGAGTATAACAGTACCTCTCAAGTGGTTTTGGTTATCAGCCTCTTGTCTGTCATTACCCAAAATGCAACTTGCAGAAGACGTCTTGCCAGAGTGTTTACCACCCAGGAGAAAAACTCTTATAGCTGAGGACAACTGTACTTGATCTGTAAAGAGAAAGAAAAAAACTCTTACAGGAATACACTTTGATTCTGAGAAGTTCCTTTTAAGGCCATAATGGGTCGTGCAGGTTTTTTGTTCTGATTATCAAAATACAAAAACATGAGGCATCTGCATTGGCTTTCACAGGAGGTTAAGAATGCTTGGAATTATTTAGCATTATTTTGGTTATGTTTCCAGTGGATATAGTCAAGACTGAGTGAATCATCGTTAGGTGTGTTTTGGAGCATGTAATGTCAACCTATTCCATGGGTCCAAAGTTTATACTGTAATAAACCAGTGAAATACAAAAATGTCACTCCCTCATACACAACAAAGCCATATACTTTTGAAGTTATGCTTAGTTTGTGTTTAATCAGAACCCTCACCGAGATTTTTCTGTTGCCCTTTAATATTTAAAAGGGAGTTGAAAAGGAAATATGAAAGAGATATTGTAACATCACTATTGCATTTATTATTGTTACTGTCAGGATATCATGACATCATATACTAATCAAACTGATCATATTTTCATAGATTGTTATCATTGTTACATTTTAGTCATTGTTTGTGACTGTTTCAGAGAGTTTGGAAAGGGAGATTGATCCCAGAGAGGGCAATATTCATAAGCCAGCAGAACAACAGTTAAAAGCTTAAACCTGAACACCACAAACAATCCTCCTCCTCAAGCAAGTGATGAAACACAATACAAACAGAAAAACACAGATAGCCTCACAGATAAAGAGCTCGATCATGTACTCCATGAGACAATAGATCAATCAACTGAGGGAAAACAACAAAACTCAGAAGTAACAGCGACAGGAGAGATTCCTGTGAAGAGGTCAGGAAAGGCAGCAAAGGAAGAAGTAACCAGAATCTTTCACTTTTTATGTCTATGAAAGATATACTTTGACAAAGTGGACATAATGGACACTGAAGGTGAGACAACATGCATGCAATTGTGTAGCTTGGTGGTTTTGTACTCCATCTGTTCCTCAAAGATACAATGAATTTTAAAGAGATTCTCATTTGCATTTGATTGGACAGCTAATCTGTGTGGTATTTAATTTCATAGGATCTTTTTTGTAGGCCTATTTTATTATAATTGTTGGTTATAATTTTTGTTTTTAGATAACTTTAAACCATAATTCATATACTACACACAGTATTTTTACATTGTAAGTAGTTATTGAGTTTAAATGTACAATTAAATGTACGTATATATCCTTTAGTTTGTTTCTAATGTAACGTAAACTATAATAAAATCTGGATAATTATTAGTTTTCTTGTTATCGTTCATAACATATTTTCAAATGTGGTCATGCGCCGTTCCCGCTCTTCTTCGCGCCTGCAGCACACCGGAAATTGTCATCGCCCCATTTCCCCCTGGTGACTGTCACTTCCGTATGATTGCATTAAGCAACACGCCGCTGCGCGACACACTCACGTACACACACTAAAGTCCAAACCGCGCTTAAAAACCGGATTTATCACACCGAAATGCATATCAAAACAGGTGAGGGGTGGTATAAAGATATATTTGACTCGATCTGGTTGTTTAATGGAGAGAGTGTTTTGTTATGTAAAGTTGTTTGTGCTCGAGTGGGACAGAATGAGACTTATGAAACTTTCGATTCTCGATCTTTCTGATATCACAATCATAATTCTTTGGTATCGTTTATGTTTTTAATGATCTGAAATTACAATCAGTGGCTCTTATGTAATCCGGCGTGTTGAGTTTGTTCTGCGGAGCGGTGTGAAGGCGGTTGTTATGGGCGCTAAACATCCAAACACAAGCGGCCTGCTGTTAGCGTTAGCAATCTCCACACGATTAAACCGCCTTTAAATGTCCTTAATGATATTCTGACTCATATTTAACGATATAATAATGGCTTCGAATTACAAATACATTTATTTAGTTCATTTAGACTATATAAAATGCGTGCTAGTATCTACGTTTTGTGTCGTTTCCAGACTGGTGTAAACTGCGTGAATACTAGACGGCGCTGAAATCAGTGATCTATAATGAGATGTTAATACATTTTGTTTGAGTAGGACATTTTTTTCCCTTCAGATCCGTCTTAGTTTCTGCAGTTAGGCCTCAGAGACTGCAGATGTGAATGAGGCGCAGACTAGAAATTTCCAGTTACATCTTGCTATGGCTCATTGACTCGTTGCTTTGCTT